TGTGTGTGTGTGTGGCGGAGGGGGGGGGGGAACTGTAGTTTCAAGTCTCACATTTCTAGATTAATGATATTTGGTATTCCTACGTTAATACTCGTGAATTGTACACAAAACAATGTAATGTTTTATTATAATAACAGTCGGTCTTTCAGACGTTGATGTTCGGATTTTCATCGACACCTCAAAATTTAAAGATTTTTTATGGAAGTAAATAGAAAAAAGTCTTGACAGCAGAATACCGTAATTATAGTTTCACATCAAAACGTCTCTTTTCGTAAAAAATCAATTTTAAAATGTTGATACCCCTGAAGTGGCTCAGGCTATCAACTGATGTGACTGCAGCGCTTCTGACTGGCAGGTCCTAGGGTTACACTTCTGATGGTGGCAGAATTGTCAACGCTAGCTACGTAGCTGGATCGAATTCAGCAGCCGTCTGGAGGAGAATTCTAGCGACCGGCTGCTCTGATTGGTAGTTTTCCATATTTTCTCCAAACAAAACCAGGCAACCAGCAGTGCTGTAACAAACGGACCGCGCGCTACCTTTTCTTAATTGCCCACGCCTCACCACCTTACACTTTTACTTACATGCACTATACCACTAATGTCGGGAACTTAGAGCTTGTTCCGGCTGGGGCGATGCCCGTCGGTAAAAGATAACTGGATGGAGAAAACCCAGCAAGAAGACTTGTAGGTCGACGCCAGATTTCGCCATCCCGGGGGGGGGGGCATCGCCACCTCCCTTGAAAACATTTTGCACTTCACCCAAGGGACTAATGACGAACGAGAGTTGATGCGCTCATAAACACGAAATAATCCATCAATCCAATGGAAAATATTAATAATTTTGAGAGGGGGGGCTTCGCGTCAGAATGCAACCCGCATCACACGTTCATTTGTTTTCTGACACATCGATCGTGTAGGAATAGACATATTTATCGTAAATGGCGCATACTAGACCCTCAAACCTTGATTTTCGAAGTCTCAGCACGATGGATGAGTGGTGCTCCTAAGGGCGTAATCTAAAAAATACATATTTCTAGACTTCTATTTCATTCTTTGAAGATCATAGCTTTTCTGAATCCCCACTTTGTATTTTGAACGGTTACGGAATTTTCAATTCTGTTAAATGGTGATTTTGACTCTTCAAAGTTTGCACTATTTAATAGTACAACTCACTGTGTTTTTAATAAACGCTTAGAATTTGCGCAAGCCTATTATCGGACCCGCATGTGAGGCCCAGTTTAGGGTCTTGCTATAGAAAATGCAAAATGTTCTCAGGGTGCAACTAGTTTAAATTAAAAAGTTGAATAGTGCAAGTACACTGAAAGTTCTGGAAAAGTGTAAGCGAGTCTTCCTTAAATAAGATTTTTTCGTATTCTTCTTCTACGGTTTCTACCCCTAAGATGTTTCTGTTTTGATTGACCTTCTTCTATTCTTGCCTCCGCCAAGACATATACAGGTCTTGCAAGTGAAAACGGGTCTAGTTCTTCTATTCCTACTTTCCGGTATCCTATTTAAAATTATATAGGCCATCTCTCATTGTGAATCCGCTGGACATGCCCGTACAACTCAAGAGATTTATTTTCTAGTCTTCTAGTTATAGGTGATTTAAATCCAGCTCTTCTCACACTAATTCATTTATCTTGTCCAGCCCCGTTGTTCAACCCCATCTACAAAGATCGTCTCATAAAGTCGACCACATTCTGTATCTTCGACGCTTTGTTAAAGGTTTCATTTCCGCTCCATTTAATACAAAATGGTCCATTACTGCGGAATGTTTTCCCTTGTGTCTTGTCTTAATGGTTATTCCATAAAAGATCGTGTAGAACTTCGGTTGTATTTCTGCAAGTCTTTGCACAAGTCTAGTGAAGATTTCATAAACTTTGCCATCTTCAGAGATTATAGTACCCAGATATTTACATTTTCAACAGTTTGTATTTGCGTCATCAATCTATCATGGGGGTCATATCTGGGGGGTTCAATGTAACTTATCGAAACAAGACCTTTATTTTCTAAAAATGCTTTGTTCTTTGATCAATGTTATTCCCTGTACTTTTTCATTTAGAATGCTGGCGTATATCCTAGCTATTGACTGGAAGACACTATATCGCCTGTAGTTTCCACAAATTTTTTTTGTCAAATTTCTTATGTATGGAACTGACATACGACATATTTCATTCCAGTAAGATATCGCCATTAACTTCAATTTTGTTAAAACTGTTTTTGAGATATTCAGTTATACTATAATCGTATTTTAAAACTTGCATTCTAAAGTTGTCTGTTCCTAGAGCTTTATTGATTTTAGCTCTCGCCAATATTCTCTTTACATCAGAATAACTGATTTCAAGTTCCCATTCTTTCTAACATGTGTAATCAGAGACAATCTAGTGTTCACCTTTATTTTTTTGCAATACTTTTCCATAGTAAACAATCCATTTTGTAGGAGTAATTATTTGCACTTTACTTTTGTTACCATTTCCCTCCATATTTTTAATAGTTTTCCGTACTTCGATTAATCTTATATATCTTATTGTACAATCTTTATCTACCCGCAATGTACGTTGTAACTGTAGTACGGACTTATATGCTGTGACTTACTGAAGTACGAAAGAGTAAATGTATTAATTGTAAGCAATCTGAATGTCTGTAACTAGTTATTAACTACACATAACTTACATATGCGAATACCTATCAAAATTGATCAAGTAATGTATTATGGTCGATCAATATGTTGCGAGATCAAAATATGTTAAATCTAAGTTTTATACCCATATCTGTACCCTCTATTAATTAACAACTATGTATTTACAACTGTTAAATCAACCAGTTTTGATCGCTAATGACCTCAGATGCCGATGAGGCTATATATGAAAAAAAATTAAAAAATATTTTTATCAACATTGAGACGTTTTCACAATTATAAATAGTAAACGTTTGATTAATTTATTTAAACATTTTATCAATTTACTTTAAACTTTCCTTGAAGCGATTTATTTTATTTAATTAACCAAATATTTATGCATTCGTGATTCTATTTAAGCTCGCTCAGGAAAGTGTAGCAATAAAAATGCATTTGATTTTATACTATTGCAAATATTTAATGTAACAATCTTCAGTAACCGTTTTTATTTTGTTGCACGACTGGTTTTAATATTTACGATTACTGTAGGGATTGGTCTAACGGAATCAATATATTTTGGGGAATTTCTTTCGAAGATTGGGATGCGGGATCAGGTTTCATTGAAAAATCAGCCATTCAGTAAAAACACGAACTGTGTTTACTGAAATTAAGAAAAAATAATTTGAAATGCCATCAATGCATATTACATCTTTGCAACAATAAATGCTCTTCGTTTGTCTCACTCTAATGTTGCCAATTTAAACACGTACGTGATATGCCTTTACACATCATACAATTTTCGTGTTTTTTTTATAATTTTAAAACAGTTTAAAGTTAAGACCCTTTTCCAAAATTGTTTATGCATTCATGCATGAAACTTTTCTGAACATCATTAAATAAGACATGTCTTCCAAAAATTCTCATTAAGTTAATATTTTTTCTTAAATAAAATTTGGCTTTAGTTATCGCGGGTTCTTACTGAATGATGACTTGATAATCTCGAACTCCGACCATGGTTCCGAGGTATTGACGTTGAATAATTCAGAAGTTTTCCAGGAAACTCTTCGTTTTTGATGTGCACTCCCGATAATTTTGAATTATCTAATTGCAATACAATTTAAGAGCCGCATGTTAATAGTTACTACCGATATTATTTCTTCACCATCAAATATAAAATTCAATTAAACATATTTAAACACCGAATAAACAAATAATAATTTAAGTTTCCGTGGTGATGTTTCAGATGAACATCCATAATACGTAACTCGAACATCGTGACCACTAAAACGTCATAGGCAATCACGAATTACTTCGAGCGAATTCGTTCTTATGTGAACTTGACGGAGGATCGTTCTGACTGTAAACTTTACATCAATTCACCACATTACCTTCGTTTTCTTTTGTTCTGTTAATAATTCTGATCTATCATTCGTCGCCTAGAATATCCGACAGACATTTGTCCCTTTCATTTTTTGTACTGAACACACTCACTGACCTGGGACAAAATTGGCTATCTAGGTTCTTCTTAAATACTACACGATTTGTATAATGTCAATATTTTATTTGTATTGTTATTCGGACGTCAATAAGATTAGTTCCAATTGATAGATATCGAATGTCACAAATATGTTTATTTACCTCGAACATGTAAAAGTCCATAAATTTCAAGATATGTGTCATCGTCCCTATTTGACTATGGTCCTTACAACTGACCACCATATTGTCGATTTATAAATCAATCCTGTTTAAAAATCATCCTATTTAACTTCCAAGTTTTAAATGACAAAGGAGGGTTGATTTTGTAGTATGTGGGTACGATAGTACCTCTGAGATTGGTATACCTCAAAATGTGTCCCAATATTCGTTTTTTCGATTTGTATTACTTATTTTACTTATTTCTTCTCTTCTGCGTATTATTTTCTCGTGTGGGCATTCCTTTTCGAAGTACACGTCAAAAACAATACTTTATTTTCCTTAATCATCGAAGTATCACTGAATTTCTCCATGAATTTCCTATTTTCTTATTAAACTTCTAGACCTTCCTTAACTGCTTCGAATACGGATAGAACATATTTTAAGTGGTAGTAAATTTCTTCAGTTTGTGGTGGGAGTTTTCGAATTGAAGTTTAATTCTATTTTGATAGAGTATTTCAGCACTATAATTTGAAAAGGTCTATTTTAATATTTATGTCATTTTGGTCAATTAGATTCTTCGTCTTTTCCAACTTTTTCCGTATTTTTCTGAAAAGAATATCATGTTTTCTCACTGCCATATGCTGATCAGTTCAACATTTCGATTGGTGGAATCACATAATTCAATTTCACCCGTTGAGGTGGTTCAGGGCACCTTCTGATGTCACTGCAGTGCCTCTGACCGGCAGGTCCTAGGGTTCGATTTCCGACGCTGGCAAAATTTTCGACATAGCTAGGTCGAGTTCAGCCGCTGTCTGGAGGAGAATTCTATCGGTCAGCTGCTCTGATCAGTAGTTTTTCGTGGTTTCTGCGATCAACACCAGGTGAATACCGGAGCAGTACCCTAATAAACGAGCCACGGACTTCATTATCGTATCCTCATCCCATTCTTACATAAATCTACACTTACGTGAACTACACTACCGAAGATGTCGGGAGATCTGTCGAAAGCTTAGAGCTTGCCCCAGCCGGGAGAGGGTTGAATTTTTTGATGAATTGAAACTTTTTACTGGATATACTTCAGTATATATGTGCGTGTCTTTACGTTTGAAAATGGTAGTATTCCCTACATATTTGAAAGTGTGTGGTGGTGTGAAGTTGGAAGCTGTCTAAGATATGCTTTTTCCGGGTGTGTCGGGGTGGGTTTCTGAGGATGTGGTGGTGAGGAAGGATTAGGTTTCGGAATAGAGGGTTCTTGATGTATTTTTTGATTTAGACTATTGCGGAGTTGTGGAGGTGTGTGAGGATGTGGGATATTTTGTTTCGATGTATTGAGTTGTAGATAGGGGACATGGGTAGGCGAAAGATGAGGCGGATGTTGTGGTTTTCCACGCGGGTTGTGGTGCGGTTTGGCGTGGTGCGGTTGGTGTGGGATGTAGCGAACCAAGTGGAATGGACATATGTTAGGATGGGACGGATATAGGAGTTGTAAGTTTGGATTTTTCTCTTGGTGGATATATGGGGATTGGTGAGAATGGGATATAAGGTATTGGTGATCCTGGATTTTTTGACCATAATTTTGTGAATGTGGTGGACCCAAAGGTGTCTGCGGGAGAAGGTTATGCCAAGGTAGGGTATTTCTGGTGTCCAGGGGATTGGTTCATATCCAATGGTTATGGGAGGGGGGTTGGATGGGTATGTTTAACAGGAAAACAGGATTGCTTGGGATTTGTGTGGGTGTATGATAACGGAGTTTTGGGAAGCCCAGAGGTGGAAGTTGTTTAGGGATTCTTGGAGGTAGGATAAGGTTTGGTTTAGGGAGCGGAAGGAAGCTAGGAAGGCAAGGCGTTAAAGAAAGTTTGTTCTCCTGGTGTTGGTGAAACGTCATTTATATAAATGAAAAAAGGGATTGGGGATAGCACAGCTCCCTGTGGGACGCCGGCTTGGATTAGGTAATTGGGTCAGGTCTTTGATAGATGTCGGATGTGGAAGGATGATTTAAATAGCATTGTTGTAGGGTGTGAATATGATCGGGGATATAGGGTCGGATTTTCATGATTAGGATTGGATGGGAGACGGTGTCGTACGCTTGGGTGAGGTCTGTGAAAATGGCAGGGATTTCTTTTCTATCTTGCAGTGGGGTGGCGATGTTAAGGGAAATGTTTAAAGTTTGGAGGGTCGCCGAGCGACCTTCACGGAAACCAAATTGTGTGGAGGTAATGATAGCATCGAGGAGAGGTGTTAGACGAAGAAGTATCTTTTCGATGGGTAGTAGGCTGATAGGATGGTGGTTAGATGTGAGCAATAATCCTTGCCAGGTTTGGGGATCATGGTAACACGAGCGATCTTCCAGATGGAGGGGAAGTAGGACAGTCTGAGGCAGGAGTTGAGGATAAGGGTAATCAGGTCAGTTGCATTTTTTGTTAGGCGGGTGAGTTGAGAAGGGGGGACTCGTGACATCGGGTCCGGGCGATTTGTTACAGTCTATCGTCTTACGTAGCTGTTTAACTTCTGCGTCGTTCGTCGTCCACGTCTGTTGTTGGTCGGGTGGTAAGGTGAAGTTTCAAGGAAATTCCGAAGAAGTCTGGGATTGGGATGTTGGGGGGGGGGAGACATGAACGTCTTCTGGTGGTGCCGGGTTATAAGCCCTGCGACCAAACCCCATGCTCAATCCTGAAGGCAGATGATTTTTTGTCAGGATTGTCTTCCCTTAGGATGGTTTGCTTCGCCGCATTTAAGGAGCCCCTCTCTCTCTTCTGACGGGGTTTTACTTTCCGTAGCTCAGAATTCCAGTTTCAAGGCGGGATCTTGCCTTTCGTCCCACTCTGTTACGGCGCAGGTGCTCACCGCGCAGAGCGTCCAGGGCCACCGCGAGGGCGATTGGGTATTGGCTTGATGACTCAGACTTGCCTCAAAGGCTCTCCGTTACACGAGGTATCTTTCGTCTGTAAATGGTGTATAACCAATGAGCTTTAGTATTCCCATGAGGCGTTCGGACCGCTTTAAGACGCTTTATTAAAGATTCCTCAGTGGTCTCCTGTTCGTACACCATTCATTCTACAACTTTATCCCATCTTCATTCACATTATTCTCTACTTTACGTTATATCTTTATCACCATCATCATCAATCATCAGCACCCTCAACATGACTGCTGTTTTAAAAAATTCGATGCCGGCCGCAGAGAGATACCGGCGACAAAACTACAGGGATTGTTACGGTTCCTTTCATTTCACGCCATGCGATGAAAGTATTTACAAAATACAAATATACAATCTACCTGATTAACAGTTAACAATGTTAGGCGGAACTTGACTGAGAGGCAAATTTTAAGTGCATTTAGATATAATGTATTTTACAAATTAAGACGCCATTTGTATTTTTAATTCACAATTAGCAACCAATACTATACGGTCAAAATAAACTTAAAAGGTAGTTAACAATGAACTTTTGTTTCTTTGCACCAGCAGGTTGCCAACTGTACGGATTTGTGGGCGGCCTGACCGGCACGGTCTCCATTGTCACGCTGGCGCTCATCGCCTACGACCGCTTCAACGTGATAGTGTTCCCCATGGAGCCCTCCAGGAAGACCAGCCACGCCAGCGCCCGCGCCATGGTCCTCTGTGCGTGGCTGTACGGAGCTACGTTCTCTTCGCTGCCGCTCACCGGCATCGGCGTCAGCCCCTACACCCCGGAAGGATATCTCACGTCGTGCAGCTTCGATTACATGTCTCGCAGCTACGTTAATCGCGTGTATATTTTCACTTTCTTCTCGGCCGCCTGGGTGTTGCCGCTTTGCGTCATAACGTTCTGCTACTCGCGAATATACTACATGGTGATCCGAACTTCCGACGTGGCCGGCGCCGTGGATTCGCAGCGGCACTGCCGCGAGGAAGAAAAAAAGCGCAGCGAGCTGAAACTAGCCGGAGTCGTGGCCGGGGTGGTCGTGTTGTGGTTCGTCTCTTGGACGCCGTACGCCGTCGTCGCGCTGCTGGGAGTGACGGGTCGCCACGACCTCATCACGCCCCTCTCGTCCATGGTGCCGGCGCTCTTCTGCAAGACGGCGAGTTGCATCGACCCGTTCGTCTACGCGGTGACGCACCCGCGGTTCCGCAAAGAGTTGCGGTCGCTGTGGCGCGCGAGGCGGAAAAAGAAGCCCGAGCGCGGCCAAGGGAAGGCGCGTCGCCGAAAGACGCCGTGGACCGTGCGGGAAGAAATGCGCTCGCACGACCGAGACAGAGACGAAACGTCCGACTCGAGCGAGCCCGACGTCGAAGAAGTGTTCGTGATGGTCGACAGAGGGTGCGACGGGCGCGAATCGAGAGGCAGCAACAGCAGCAGCAGCGGCGGCGGCGGTGGCGGCTCCTCCGAGGACTCGAGGCCCGAGAGAAGCCGCCGCGGAGGGAGGCGGCGCCGCTCGCAGCGCATATCGTGGACGGTGGACGAACCTTTCCCGTTTTCCCAGAACATCGTCCACCAGTTGCAGCCGCCCAGTTGGTTTGTGCCTCCGCAACCGCATTCGAAACGGTCGGCCAGTCTCCGGCTGAAGGAGCAAGTAAAATTAGCTACGGGTCCGAAGTCGATGTGACATTTTCTGCCCGGGTATAGAACGTCTTTTCTGATTTATTTACACGCTTAATATATAACGCAAAGAAAGACTCTCCGTAGTGGCTCCTTTCTGATGAGCGCTTGCAACAGAAATTTTGTTGGTAGTACGAGCTGCTGGTTGAAAATATAAATTGTGGCCTCATCTGAATCATAATAGAGCTGGAGCTGTTGTCCTCTTCACTTGATTCCCAGTGATCTGGTTGCTACCACCATAAATGCAGTTTTAAAATAGGAGGCCCTGATTTGGCTCAGTGCAGAGAGACTTTACTGGTGAACTGTACATTTTTTTTAAATTGAATTGTTTTGTCAATTGTACATTAGTTAATTTATTCTCAACTGAATAGACAATTAATTCAATAGATATCAACCACAGTAATATTAAAATAAGTATAATGTAGAGTCATAACTATTATCATTAATATGAATGTTCATCAAGTTTATTACAGGGAAACATGTAAGTTGACACCAAATGTTCCGTAAAAAACACGGTCATTAAACGAGATTACTGTTTAATAAAGGTTATTGGAAGCGCAAATCATTCCGAATTGTGCTAATCACTATGAAATGTATGTTTCCTTTAACATTTTAAATTACCATAAACGACGAAATGCATTTTAAACAAGGTATTTAGGATTATTTGTCTCCTCCCAATATCCTTCACCCCCATCCTTGACCAGAAACAACCCGACTTGAAAATGGAATTCACATCCAGTAGAAACCTTACATCATGGCCGTCTTACGTTAGGGGTTAGCGAATGGCCTTCCGATCTGATTATCACACCCGATGTGTTCCAAGAGTCTTCAATGGATTCTTGCAGAAGCGAAGCACTAGTGAACAAACGATAGGAATGTGAAATGGGTGAAGCAAGCACATTGTATCATAGAGAAAAAATAAAATGTTTTAACAGACAATAATAATCGAACTTATCACTGACTTTAACAATATCACTGTATATCACAATATTTCCTTCGCAAACGAACGAACGAACTTCACATCTCCATCGCTGCATACAATTGGCATTGATTTTTCATGCCAGTGCGGAATTTCTACTCTTTGATATTGATGTTTAAGGCACGAGGTTAACGAATATTTAAAACTATTTAACCCATGAAATCTCGAACTAGAACACGTTGGCTGCCATGAGAAGCATAACGTGATGCTCATTGAATCTGAACAGTCTGCCAGAATCTGCCAGACGTACCAAGATTCTGGTATTTTTACAAGGATTTTAATAAAGATACCATGTACCAGAATGAAGACATCCTGATATGTTTAAATACCAGGATTTTATGTCTAAGGTAATTGATGTTGTACTATTTAAGATTCGTATAATGTTTGTATTCAATAATTTAAATCTATCTCCAATATTACAAATAACTATGATATTGGTGATAACTCAGCCGTAAAATCATTAATGGTGACATAGGATGACCTTTTTTTAGCACGTGCCATAGGACCATTCTACATAGAATCATCTTCCATTTAGTTTATTGATATAAAGTGAATAGATTAAAGTTTAACGAACTTTCTGTGCGCGTTCAACACATAATAGTTGTAATTTAAACAATTTCAAAACTCAAATAAGTTTTCATTGGCTCCAGGAAACTTAGTGAAAATACCAGGATTTTTGAAGGTTGGTGCTGGGATTTACATTTGTTCGTCTGGCAGACTTGATGAGTTTCTGATAATGTGATTGAGAATCTGATAAAGATCTCATCCTTATCCTATAGATGATGAAAGGCTCGCCAAAAGGTTCGTCTTTTCTTGATTATTGTGGCAGTCAACGTGTACGGGCATCTATCATTTTTAAGTAAACTAGCAGTTCTTGATTTTATTAAAATAAGGTGACCTATTCTTTAATTAAAAAGAGGAAAGATTTAATATAAAAGTACAACCCAAATATTTTTTTTAATTCAAACAATGACATACTGAATATGATTAGATCCCTTTTAATTATTTAATTAAACAAGTATTTTCCCATTGAAAGGATATTTTTGTCAATTTATGATTTTCTATTGGAAATTTCGGATCAATAAATATCCTTCATATTGGATTTTACGACGAGAATCAACATTCAATCGCGATTTCTCGCTTAATTAACACATTAGTTATAAAATATCAAAAAGGAGGACACTATTCAAGGATGGACAGAACCTAGAAAAAGACTGTCCTCCCTAAAATAGGACGTTTGGTCACTTTAATTAAAATAAAGTTAGGATAAAGGAATATTTATTACGCAAAAAACGATAAAGCTTAACAGGAAATGTTAAATATGTGGCTTAAGGTTCATTGAATTTTGAATACGATACAGAAAACGTCAAAATATTTTTATATGAAAAAATGTAAGTCAAGAAGCATTTATGTATGTTTTTAAACAATCATAGACCACATTTACAATAACACAGATCAACAAGGGCTCGATAACATTGATGTATCAGACTGAATAATTGAATTTGAATAATCATATTCAAATGGCACCCGATTGGCGGAAGATAAGCTTGACCTGTGAAAATCTTCCACCACGTCCCAATATTTTGTTATTTGGCCCTTACTGGTGCGAAATAGGTTACTATCATGGTTTACAGGGACTTCTTTAATTTGTAAGTTGGAAACCCTGCAAACGTCTAAATGTGCTGCAACCGACAGCCTTGGAGGTTAACCTGTTGATCATTATTTGTTTTTTTGTATGACGTTGATTTGAATATGGCTTATCTTATTGAGCAAAACGAACAAAATTATCTTGTTCCAGAACTTCATCTATCCGAAATGTAAGATAACTTCTAGCGTCACGTTTGCAAGAATGGAACATTTTGGTTGAAAATACGAATGTGACCTTATTAAGGGGAACAAATGAAAATATGTTTTTCTCATTTTATTAAGGAAAATGTGTACTCTGCTATTGCAAAGATATTAATGCTCTGGAGTCTGTCTGTAGCGTATAATCCAAATGAATGGCGACTTTTTATAGATCTGTTCAAGTTCAGTTTGAAGGATGTGGTAATACACAAAGGGAATAGAGAACCATCTATTCTTCTAGCAATTCGGTGGTTTTAAAATAATCACACGAAATTATGAATGTAATTCTCAGAAGCGTCGGGTACGAAAATCACGAGTATAAATATTGTAATGTTTTATCTTTGTTCCTTGATCCTCGGGGGGATTTACTAAATACTGCTCTTTTCTCGGCATGTGGGATAGCAGAGCAAGAGGGGAGCAGTATGAAATCAAAGAATGGCCTCAAATAAGTGAATTCATCCCAGGCAAAGCAATGTAACCTTTGGTAGTTCTCAACGAGCTAGAATATGTCATGAGTGGCTGTCCCTATAGTTTCAGCGCTCTTGGTGGAGACTCGCCGAACTAGTGGCCGCCATGTTTTTTGAAATCAAAACATACGAGTAGCGGTGTATTCAACTGCTATACTGAACCGCCGTTGTGGTGTTGTTCGTATCACAACTTATTTCTTTATTGTTTTTTCGTTTAACGCTATTTAAATAACGACATTGCAATAACATTAATTTTCATGCTTTATGCTAACTACAATATCATTTCAATAGCTTCCATTCTCATGACAATAATCGATGCAGGAAGCAAGATTTATTTAAAGTTTCTCCAATTCGTTCTCCTAGCATATTGTCAGTCCGTTTTTAAATATTTGTTTTTTAATCGTGAGAACACACAATAAGAGGATTTATATTAGGTGCGGCCCGCGCCCACCCGTCCGGAACCAGCGCAAAAGGTAATTCTAGAATTCTTCGTTTCTCAGAGGGCGCTGCTTTGACTGAAAAAAAAACTGGTTTCAATTTTCTTCGAAGAGGGAGGTGCTTCAGACGCTCTATGTAATTTATTCTAGCTCATTGGTAGTTCCAAAAAGTATTCACTTGACCCTACTTCACATCAAACTTGGACAAATTAAACATTTTATTAAAGCAATGAACAAAGGAGAGGGTTGAAGTATTTAAGAGAAATTTTCCCCAAACTTGGTGATGCAAAATTAAAAGAGAATTTTTTTTGTTAGTCCTCATATCTGAAAATTGCTGAAAGATTCAAATTTCGACTTCATACTTCCCCTAAAGAACTCGCAGCTTGGAAATCTTTCATATCTGTTGTGAAGGGTTTCTTGGAAATCACATGGACAACTGTGAGTTATTAATGGAGAATCTTGGGCGAAATTATAAGAAATTGGATGTCAAATGGCCTTGAACAGATATTTTCTTCATTCACATCAGACTTACTATCTAAGATCCTGGGAGATGACAGTGGTGAACAAGGTGAGAGATTTCACCAATTTATTAGTTATTTAAGAACGCTACCGAAGGTGGGAGATTGTTGGTTTTTACTGCAAGAAGATGCTACACCACACAAACAGAAGAGCATCCACAAACAGACTTTTTAAAATATTATGATTCACGTATAACTTTCACTTAATTTTTACTTTAAATTTCCAATTACAAATTTTACTTTGGTATTCTATATTATATATATATATATATATATATATATATATATATATATATATATATATATATATATATATATACATACATACATATATAGCATATATAGTTGTATTACCCACGTACTAAATTTTGATACATATGAAAAAAATTATACAAAAATCACTCGCTTGCATTTATTTAAAAATAAATTATGACGTTCACATATTAAGAGATACAAATAAAGATTATGGTAAGAAGTAAATCTTACGAGGCGGCTGTTTTTTGAGTTCGGAACTGAAATCACCGACCTCGAATTAGTAAAAAATATTTACTTCTATTCATGTTACCGAAAAAAATTACAATTTTGTTGTCCTATGTAATTAATGCATTAAATAATTTAAACACTATATCAAATTTCGAGTTTGTTAGTGCTTTAGTTTAACCAACTCCCTTGAAAATTCTAATCATTTTCGGTATTTCATTTATAATATTCTGTGTTTTTTTCGATTAATTTAAATTTAAATTATTTAATTATTAAATAAAGTTTAATATATGTAATAGTTTTCTAAATGACAATAATTATAAGTAATACAATGTTCTAAAATTAATATTTAAAAAGCTCACAGTTTTTAAAAAAGAAGGTAACCCCATTTACTCAATTAGCATAAGCTTGAATTCGTTTTAATGGATCTCTTCATTTCCAATAAAAGAGCACGTCCAAATTGTCCATACATTTAATTTTATTGACATATCGCACGTTAGCATCATCGTCAAGGTCAATATTTTCTTCGAATGATTAATGACCAGGAAAGTTACTGACTTGTTGGAAAAATGAATCCGAGAGAACTGCTGTGCTTCTTTATTCAAATTTATAAGCAAAACTGACCAGCGATACGCAGCCAGAGTCACAACAAACCAAAAGATAGCAAATAGCTCGTAAATAACAGTGGTAACACTAAACAAGGTTAGGCAATCGCACAATACAACCCAAAACTTACAAATGCTCTAGAAAACCGTTAAGCCCACCCAAGAAACAGACACCAAACACTTTCCCGCCGAACGTAACGGCTGTAAAGGAAATTCACGTATGCGCCAGTGAATTGTTACATTACACAAGTAACCTTGTTTTATTGCTTCTATCATTTTAATATATTGTTTCATTCTATTATTACTGATAATATTTATGTATTGAATTGTATTTTGCAATACATTTGGAGTAAAATACCAAAGTTCATTTGAAATAACCGCCGTACATTTGCGTAGAATAAACAACGAATGAACGTGTTGGTACCGGGGCCCTACAATTCTGTCATGAATAAATTGAAAGGGGCCTCGGCCGCCATTGGAGTGGGTATTTTGCGGCAGGTTTCATATCCAACTTTGCAATAGCGCTTTTTTTCATTATTATCTTTGTTTTGGAGTGTGTGTAACAGAAATAAAAATATAGAAAGAAAAAATCAAAACATTAGATGTATATAAATAATATTTAAATACTTGTTTTCTCTGCCAGCTCCCATTCTTCTTTAAGTATATAACTTATATAGTTAAAGCAATTTTTCGCGCGAAAGATCTTTACCATTTACAATTAATAACTGATTAAGGAATAACACAGATGTTCCGCTCGTAATATTTCGTTCTGAAGAGTCAAACTATGTAAACGTGTACACTGAATTTGAACTTAGAACAATGAATTTCTTCTCGCACTTAATACATGCCGGACAACTCTTAACCATATTATCTTACGGTTAAATAACACACGCTCCGAAATGAACGCTTCGTTATTCTAAATAACTAACTTGCTCGTATCACAGACGCACTCGCAACGATGTCTATGAGGAATACGCCTTCAAATTATTCCGCGACAGCAGCGCTCTCAGTGAGTTCATCGTCTTTGGTTAGTATAGTGTAGTATTCCAGAAAACGAGAAGAAAGTGCGCGTCGTTTTGCATTGTCTGTGCTGTCTGTGCCGCAGCCAGCAGTCGATACTTAATGGCGTCTGGTGTTGTGCGACTGCTTGCGACCGAAACGAGGGATTGAACTTCGATATCTATTTGTCAAAAGTTGATTATCGGAAATATCGCGGTAAATTTGGAACTTTAGATTAGAAGGCACAAATTTATTTAAGTTATAATTGGGAGTGTATTTGTAACGTTATTGGAGAAAGAAATTGTTTCGTCATGTTTTGCCAACATCGTTCGGAAAATATTTTCTACGTATCGTGTGTACCAATGGTAACTAATTTCTGATAACACGGTTCAAACTGGTTACCGGTGTGTAAGAAAACTGTGTTCGTTAATACATTATGGATCAGAATGTGCAAATGCTATTAGCTAAACTAATGGAGGAAAAACATACCTTTAATTACAAGAAGTTGGTGGTGCCCATGTCAATGAGGAGCATTTATTGGAAATATTTTGGTTTTCCTGCAACTGATGAAGGGGAAATTCTTACCAGGGTTAAAATTGTGTGCATATTATGTAAAACTCAAATAGCGTATAACCGTAACACAAGTAACTTGAGAATGCACTTACAAAATAAACATGCTCATGAACTGCTTGAATTGGAAACCGCAAATCCACCCAGAAGACCTAGTGTAGATCCTAAAGAGAAACGTGCTCAAAAGCGAGTTAAGACTCCCAGTGCCCCTCATATTTTTACAACTGTTGCAGATGGAACAGTACAAATAGAAGGTGATGTTCACTTCATTACAGATCCAAATATAACTCTTCAGAGCATAGATGATGATGGATCATCTAGTAACCAAAATGTGCGGGTTGTCTTGAAGAGGGAGATAGGAAATCAAAATGTGGCCATAATTTTACCAGAAGAGAATACAAATAGCCAAATGCCTTCTATGGTAGATGGTAAAACTATTTCTGATGCTATTGCAGAATTTGTTATCCTGGATCTTCAGTTACCTGATGTTGTAGAAGGAAGAGGTTTCCAAAGACTAATAGCTACACTGCGCTCTCCATGTGAAATTCCCAGTAAAACTAAACTTGAAGAAGAGCTAATTCCAAGAATTTACGATACTTTTAAAGAGAGTGTTCAGTCTTTGGTATCATGTCATCAAGGTGAAATGGGTTTAAGTGTTGAAGAATGGAATTCGGCCAATGGAGAATCCTTTATAACAATTTCTGTGCATTTTCAACAGTCATTTGATCCAGTTCTGGAAACAAAAGTGTTGGGTACTTTACACTGCGGTTCAGAAATGGATATTGCACAGTGGGGAAATGTATTAGACGTATTTTTTTCAGAGTGGGATATAAAACTGGAGAATGTAACTGCTGTTGTCACTGCTACTACAAAACAAGAAATATTGATGGCCCTGGCAGAGAAAGGACTAACCTTAGTCCCATGTCTTGTGCATAGTTTGCAGGTATAGTTAAAGAGACATCACTTTTATAATATTGTTCATGAACAAAATAATACTTTTATTTACAGTTAGTTCAAAGATTGAAAACATGAAATATTTTATTGCAATTGTTGCAATTACAATCTAATATGGAAGCATTAATTGTTGTAAACATTAATTATATCTCTTAATAGATTTCTTCGTTTCACCACCAGTATTTTTTGCTTTTTTATTGTCATTTAATAGAAATATGTTAACTTTATATATTAGGAATAACAATTAAAATTAATATTCAGCCAAATTTTATTAATGTTAAGCCTAAAACTTAGAACGTTTTGTAAAAGTGCAATGTAGGATTTCTTATTATATTTAATTGTGTGTGATTTCTGTAATTTTAGAATGAAAATTAATGTATATGACTTAGTTTGTAACAGCACTGAAATATTGTTTCATGTTGATCATTGAATGCAATGTGTTTGTTACCCTACTACATTTATAATGCTGATTTAGTAAGTCCTATAAATTCTGCACTACTCAGCTTTGAAATTGTCACATTATTTATATAGACATACCACCATCGTTAGAGGTTTTATAAAGGGAGACAACTGTTAACACGTGTAGTATTAAAATATGTAAATGCTTTTCATATTATTTTATAGATGCATTTTTGTGTTTGATTTAAAATATTAAATATGTCTAAGAAATATTGTTTACTGATACTGCAGTAATGCATCAATTTTCATATGAATGTGCACATTTCCCTGTGCATTATTTTAATACTCACAAAACTAGTATTTTATTTTTGGGGCATTGCTTCTGGCTAATTTGCAGTATTCCAAATTATAATACACACAGAAAGAAATAGCCAGAAGCAATTCCAAAAATAAAATACTACTTTTGTGAAGATTAAAAATGATGCCCTGGGAAATGTGTACACAACAATGGTGCCTGTTCAAAAATGTTTTTTGCTTTCTAGACAAAATTTGGAACCTTCCAATGTTGGGATCTCTTTGAATGTAGCAGTATTATAGAATGTATTTCATTTCCAAATACATATTGGTGCCTTTCTCTTTAATGAACATTTAAGCCTGTAATTTGCTTTACATTCAAAATCCCAAGTTTGTAATATTAAATTGAATTTTGTATTGTTTGCAGTTATGCACAAATGCTTGTTTTGAACAACCAGAAGTTGTAAATATTTTATATAAATGTAGATCCATAGTTGCTCTTATATCTCATAATAATACTTATAATGCAACACTAAGAATGCAAGAACAAATGATGCAGGTAAGTGTAAAATAGTGAATTATTGTGTGTTACTTTGATATTATGGAACTATCATTAATGTAAAAAGTAACAATGTTGCAGTTGGAAGAGAATACTTTGAGAATGGATTATCCTCGTGTTTGGACATCAACATATGTAATGTTGGAACAACTCCTAATAAGAAAAAACATTATTATTTCAATTCTGAATACAGCTGATATCATTGAAAGAGATGGATTTATGTTAACTGAAGCCGAGTGGAAAATTATGGAAGACCTAGTTATGGTATTAGAACCTTTTAAAGTAAGTCTTGTGAATATAAGTGTGTTCTTATATTCATTCATATTTTTTATTCGGTACTATTGATGGTTATGCCTTATGTTATATCCTACACTGATATGAAGAATAATTGAAGATTATTTTGTTCTTCGGAACATTTTTATACTCGTGTCGCCTCTTATATTATTTTATTTACTGAAGTTCATTATCATTTGCAGGGCTTGAGGCAGTAACAAGATAACCACACCAATGCAAGCATTCTGCTATTCATAATTGTTAATTTCTTGATTTTGGTGAAAGTAGTTTATCTTGTTACTACAGGTCTTGTTCGTTTCATGAAGGATTAACATTTAGGAATAGCTGGTGGCTTGCTGTGGCCAATAAGACTTTTCTTGCTACTGCCTCAAGCATAAAGTAATAACATTTCATAGTGTAAGTGAGTTTTTCTTTTTAATAATTTTTTATTACTTTTCCGTGAAAGAAACTAATATTAATTTGGAACAGCACATGAAATTGAGCTGTACTATAAATTTGGATAACACCTGCTTATTTCTCCAGGTAACAATTATGACTCTTAGTGAAGAAAAGACTCCTCTTATATCTCTGCTCAAACCACTTCTATGTCAGTTGAACAATTCACACTTAAAAGCCAAAGACAGTGATTCAGAAAGTGCCAAAAATTTCAAGACTTCCCTCTCAGAAAATTTATCCACAAGGTTTGAATTTTTGCAATACATTTTTTTAATTATATAATTTATACCAAACATATAAAATGTAATAATTTTTTGCAATTCAGGTATAGTGATCCAACAGTTAATCAACTACTTCAAACAGCAACCATGTTAGATCCTCGTTTTAAATTGTTACCTTATGCAAATGGGGATGACAAAAACATTATATCTGGACCTATCAAAGAAATGCTCATTAAATTTGTGGAAGAAGAACAGATTTCAAATGTTGGCGAAGAACCATGTGATAAAAAGAGTCGTTTGTCAGGTAAATAAAAACATAAGTTAGCAGTTAACATTACTCCAGATAATCATCAATATTATCTGTTATGTTTGTTACTGTTTTGAAGTTAATTCTTTCCATATTTTATTGTATTTTGTATTCTCAGGAATGGAGTTTTTGCTTGGAGATCTATGTAATAGTAAAAATGGTATGCCTGCAGAAGAACGAGCAGATCTGGAATTAGTGCAATACCAATCCGAGAGCATTGCTGCATTGGACCACTGTCCACTGCAATGGTGGGCTAAAGCGTCAGCAAAATGCCCTAGTTTGGCGCGTTTGGCTCGTAAATATAATTGTGTCCCAGCCTCAGCAAGTCCTCCTCATCGCATTCCTATGGAAAGCCAAGTACTCTTTGATCTTAGACGAGCAAGCCTGGGACCTGATCTTGTTGAAAAACTTATATTTTTAAATGGAAATCATAGTGTGTAGGAAAATGTGTTCTCTTTATCTAAATTAATAAGGTAGAAAATTATGTTTATATTTTTCGTTACAAAAAGATTTTATTATTTGCCATCTAAAGTGTCCCTAGATTTGTTTTTAAGTAAACATTATACTGTGATGTTACGAACATGATATCAATTTCTTTTGATAATCAATGAGATTAAATGTTTTAGTGTGAAGAAAAATTAAATATTAATGTTTATTTTTGCTATTATGAAAATAAACGTTGATTCTTTTTATCCTGGAGGTTCACACCTTCATAAGGGGCCTTATAACTTGAATCATCATCTAGAAAGACATGGAAATTGTTCAAAACACAATCTTCTGTTTGAACTAGAAAATTTAAATTATCATCTTCAACTCATGTTTGAACATTAACAAATGTTAGCATATAATTGTGTCTCTCATGCCTCACACTCTGAATTGGAGATCTTATGTATACTTCATAACAGCTACTGTTGTGCAAAAGTTATTTCTCTAAGAATGTATATAGTGTACAAACTTTTCTAATTGTTTCTTCTGAAATATTATACATGTACATATTTCCTGTTACACTCTGGTAACTGTAGCATTAAGTATGCAACTACAATGCATAAATCAGTTTTATTAAAAGGTACATTCTCCTTATTGTAAGTACCCAGTTTTAATGTTATTTCTGATTTTTAGCTAGGTCTGGTGAATACATTTAAAAATTAAATACTGTTTCTTTCTCTACATTATAAAAAAAGATGTGGGATATGTAGATAACATTAAGATGTTTTGCATTACAAATTTCATTAAATACACAAAAACACTTCTCTTCCATACAAATTGATAGCCATTCCCTGAAAAAGTTTGTTCGCACAACACTGTATTAAAGATTTAAAAAAAGAAAATTTTAAAGATTATTAACTTGCAAGATGTAATAGTAGAAAAGGATGACTTATTTCAGTTTACTTGTTTGTAAAAAGAGGTGTTAAACTTGTAATTGATTACAAAAATTTTAAATCAAAAAGGAATGCATTTTTGATTATGTGCTTAATGTTTGATAATCCTAGAAAGACAAATAACACTTTTATTTTTAAATGTCTTTCTAAATAATGTACATTCAATTATGAAAGGTTTGTATTGGGGTGGGGATATCATGTGTGGGCACTATGAAAGAACAGGCTTTTAAAGCTAACCCAGGCTAATTCATTTGAAGTCTTTACAATATTACGCTGCTATGTATATATATGTAGTTTAGATTATTGCAGTTGTAAAAACTGGTATCGGTTTAATTGTCCAATGTTCCCAAAGATACCACCAAATGTATACCACCTTTAAAGTTAAATTACAGAATTGACGGGCTATCTTGAAAAATTATATTCATTTTGGTTTTACCAAGATTAAACTGTTAATGAAAGAAATCTGGTTTTATTGAAAAGATAATTCTTCACAGTAAGTTTTTTTACCTGTTTTGCTAGGTTCATTTACTAAATACTAAAAACTTCTGTACACCCAACATATCAAACTATAAGTTCCAATATCAACTGCTCATGTTTGATAAAAACGTGGATCACTAAATTTCAGCATTGTTCTCTTGTAGAAATAGTAATGTATTACAGCCACTGAGAAAATTTACAAAAATCAATTACTGATAAACAGATACTAAAATTAAAAAGTGTGAGAGGTTGTTCAAACTTACATAACTTTTGAGCAATATTTATTGCAATTAGACCATTTGACCAATAAAATTTAAGTGGAGTTGTCCACCGTGTGGTAAGTATTAAAGCTTGCAAAGCAACAGTTGACACCAGATAAAAAATGCATAATAAAATTGGTGTGTTGAATCTTCTGTAGAGTAATCCCATTGAATCAGCCTGAAAAGTTATGTATTGAATATGCCAACAAATTTGAAGAGTGATTTGTAATAATTTCATTATCCTTACCTGGAATATAAATGCTGACAAGAAGCTGAAAACTATTAGAGTAATTGAGAATATCAGACACAAATCTTGCACACTGGAAAACAGATTTGATCAAAATTGTACAGAAATAACATTAAGTGTATTTTGCCCAAAATCGTGTAATCTTACTACTTACATGAACATCAGTATTAGCCCTATGATATTTTTTCTCGCATACTCATAAATCCCATTTATTATCAAATCCACCATTATTAATACATATTTTATACACATTGTAATACGTTGTTGATGGGTTCTGACTGAAAGCTCATGCATCTTTCAATCATTATTTATTATGGATATAACCCAAAGTATGCACCAAGATGGTCTTGGCGTCGATGCACCTATAATCTCGCTTTGGGTTTGTTACCATGGAAACGAGGTTGCTATCGCATTCTTTTAATCGATAGTCAATTTCAAAACTAGGGAGTTCATGCACGCCGTAGCGTCAGTACTATCGATTTTCTGCGCATGCGTAGTTACAGTAAAGTGGTGCGAATCTCAAACAGCGCATGCCCAAAAGATCGATAATACTCCCCAGTAAGTTTGTGCAAGTGTGTTCGAACATTTAAGCATAATCGATCTTCGGCGCTTGCGCATTCCTAAAGTTGAGTTGGTGAAACCTCGAACGTTGAAGCACTATCGACCTTCTGCGAATGCATACTTCAAGTTTCGCACTCTTTCATTCATCTGCGCATGCACAGAAGATCGATAGTGCTGTCCGCTCTTGCGTGCACAAACTCCCTACTCCCTTTCGATTAAAACTAAAAGCACACGTGATGAAAAAAGGGGAGACTCATCCATTCGGGAAATATAATACCAAAAATATATGTCGTAACGAAGCTAGCGATTAGATGACAATAAACCTCTCTCTTTGCCAGATGTTAAGTTTCATAGGACTTACTGTTTTAATTCGAGTATATTTATGCAGCCATGACGAAAAATATAAGGGAGTGGGCCTGGTGCACGGTTTTTTGTACAAGGACAAAAGGGTATGAATAACCACATTAGTAAGTTTTCTATTAGTTCTGTAGCTCGTATTTTGCCTAGTTTTGAACGCTTTATATCAGTAAATTCCGCCAATGATACAGAGATATGCAGATGACGTCACAGGGTTCGGAAAGCGAGCGAGCAGGGGCGGGGAGTAGTGCGCGTGTGTGAGCATTACCTAGAACATTGGTAAGTTTTTGGCTATATTACGCGGTTGATGAGGTTTGTTTTTCTTGTCACGTTTGTTATTTACAATATTTGCTTCCTTTCGGTTTGTTTACTTTCTGGCTGAGCATTTCGTAACTATTCATTTCGAAAATGTTTCGAAATGTGCAGTTACACTAAAGTGGTGCGAATCTTAAAACAGCGCAAGCCCAGAAGATCGATAGTGCTTTAACGTTCGAAGTGGCACAAACTCCCTAGCAAGTTTGTGCACATTCGAACGTTTAAGCACTATCGATCTTCTGCGCTTGCGCAGATAAAGTTTTGCATCTCTACTACATTGCGCATTCCTAAAGCTGAGTTGGTGAACCTTCGAACGTTTGAGCACAATCGATCTTCTGCGAATGCATACTTCAAGTTTTGCACTCTTTAATTCATCTGCGCATGCACAGAAGATCGATTGTGCTGTCCGCTCTTGCGTGCACAAACTCCCTACTCCCTTTTGATTAAAACTAAAAGCTCACATGATGAGAAAAGGAGAGACTCATCTTTTCGGGAGATGCAATACCAAAAATATATGTCGTGAATATTGTCATGACATGCTTCTTTACTATGAAATGAAATGTACGAAAGATTTCGATTCATGTGCCCTTTCGTCCGATGTGCAAAGTGCTAACCTAACGAATTTCGGCCGTGTGTGCTATTAGAGTAGAAGAAACTCCTATTTATTTTTTATAAACTGACAGCTTTGAGAAAAATTAGGAAATTGCATTAATTACCGTCATATTGCTTTAATAATGTTCATAAATGTAGCCCCAAAAATGTTAATAAGTTTTCACAGAGTAAAGGAACCATAAATACTAACATAACTTAAATTTGGTATTACTTAACATATTAAAATTTCAATGATTTAATTATAATAAATGTTTTTTTAAATAAATATTACACTTTTTACCATTTTATTATTTATTTTTGGTTTCCTATGCTGAATTGAAATTATGTAGGTTCAATACCAATATTCAAGCCACTTGTTTATAGTAAGTGATGATTTAGGCACCTAAAATAGGTAACAAAATTATGGAATTAGGCATGAAAAGGGACATTTTAGGCACTTTAAACAGGCTACAAAATGATTGAATCAGGCGTTTATTAACTTTAGTCATGAAAATTTATGTTTTTGTCATTCAAAATTTATCACAAAGAGATTAAATTAGGCACTTTTTATTTTTCGGGAATGTCAATTACTTTTATTGTACCTTTATGGAAATGACTACAAGCATATTCTTTTATTCACTTTCATTTCTTTCCATTTCATTCATTATTTCACACTTTTCATTCTCAACCTGTCAACTGCTCAGCTGCACTGGGAATGGACGCAATTACTTACGAAGCGCGTACTGATCGAAGATGGAAGTATAACATCTGCTTTTCGGTGTGTTGGGTGAGAGATTTTGGTGCGGGATCGATTACGTATGAGATCAGAGAATATTCACGTCTCGGGAAATTCGGTACAGTATTTGCGTATCGGTAAATCAAATTTCTGAAAATGAATAATTAAAATATTAAAATTCATCAATATTTCTTGTTTTAGGCAAAAATGTAATTGTTGTGGCATATTAATATTTATAATCGCGTCAATTTTTTTCACATTTGTATATTTATGAGTAAACGTTTAAATAATGTCACATAAAGTTTTTCGAAAACTCAACCGCTTTCTGTGAAACCTAGCTCAAATTACCAAATTTTCAAAAACGCTCAAACGCCATTTTTTCAAAATCGACTCCAATTTTTTTCTTCATGCGATTCGTAAGGATATTGTTAATTTCGCAGCTAAAAACGACAAAAATAGTTTTTCTCTATTCTTTTATTGTTTATTTTCACAAATTACACAAAAATGTATTTTTTTAAAATATCTCTCACGCCGTTAATATGCACATTCCGGAGATTTGCATACATTATTGCGTTTGCGAGTTAAAATGCTTCAAATGGCGTTCTCGCCTTATTGCAGACTTACGTAACAAATAGAAAGCAGAATCGGCGTTTTTCCAACAGAAAAAAATTGTTTTATGAGACCATGGTATCGCCAAATTGAATAAAGCTTCCTCCTATATCTAGTTAATTATTTCATCGAACACGTTGTGGCCAAAATCCACGATTTGTCTTGATGCCGAAAAATTGATAGACCGTCCGTGGCAAACACTAGCATTGCAGAACAAATCCATATAATCTCCCATGCCTAAACCTTTCGGACGATTTTCTACGAAATTGAAATACACTGAAAAATCGTCGATCTCAATGAACATCAGGCCCTACGAGTTTGAAGCAGATATTTTGATTTTGGAGGATATATTACATAAATTTTACTTCATGTAAAGTACCCGGAAACATTTTCAAAATTATCTCAAAGTTGGCTTCAAATTGTGTGATTTTTCCCCCCCCCTTCGGATAGCGGAAAGGGCAACATTATTGAAGATAAAGTTTTACTTTACTTTAATATCAGGTATATTTTTTTCAAAATAATAATATTTTCTCAGAATGTTTGCTTAAAATGAAGGCAATTTAAAAAAAGACTTAATGGCGGCTCCAAATTATTCTCTCTCTCCTCTCTCTTTTTCCCCCTTCGTACAGAGCAAAGTGCGCTTATAAAAATGGCCCTTATTTCATTTTCCTTGAATTCCGAATTTTCGAATATTGTTAAATTTACAAATAATAAGAGAAAAATGTGCTTTTACAGCCCCACTTCTTATTCTATTTATTCTTAAATCAACTAATATTAGTGAAGGAGCGGTGGTAGATGCTCTGTGGCTCAAGGAAACGTGCGCGTACAATATATCGTCAGCATTCGCACAAATCTGCTTCATTCTGTAACAAATACCACGACCACAAACATCCTGTTTCTTCAGTATTGCATCTATTACGATGCTATAAAGGAGCGCTGACGGGGAGGGGGGGGGGTCTTCTTTCCTTACACCTGAATTTATTTCAAAATTTTGTGAGTAGGCGTTGTTTATGTGTACCTTGGCCCTGGTGTTATTTAATATTAATTTAAAAAGTCCGATAATTTTGGTTGGTACCCCCATTGCAATAAGGCTGCTATATTTTGCATATCTCTTTACTCTGTCGAAAGTTTGTTTAAAGTCTATTGACTTTAAACTTTGAATATTACATTCGGAACACTTTTCATAAATGTTCACTTTTCATAACTATATGAATATTATCTATTGTTGTGCGAAGGAAAGCCCATTTGAAAATCCCCCAATGCGGGTTCTATTATTTCACTTAACCTTTTATATATCAGAGAAGGAAATATTTTTGTAGCACCAGTAGTTTACGTTAATATTGAGTTTATGGACTATTTTCATAATTCGATTTGTTGAGTCATAGTAGTTGTGACTGAAGCACCATTCTAGATGTAGAAGTAATTTTTGCAATGCAGAATTTTTGTGACAATGTTACTGTCTAAAGCACTCGTATGATCACATAGCTTACGTACAGTACAAAAAAGTTGTTCTGAAAGTTTTGCATGATCCTCTACGTGACATTCATCACAAACCAACTGTCCGTTGCAGTAAATGAGAACCGAATACGTGACCAACCGCACGCCGATTCCCCTGGCCTTTCACTATAAACGAGGTCATTGTAAATGGTCTGGGAGTGAGATGAATGTAGTAATGCTGTGTAGTTAACACATGCACGCACGTACTTCCTCGGAAAACTTTTAGACCCCATAATTGATAGTGTCACGTGGACCCTAATCCAAGGAGCCCTGATTATGACATTTTCTAGAACCAATTATAATTAATACAAAATATGTCAAGGGGAGAGTGCATTGTTGTCGGAGTATTAGTTTTATCAACTCAGAAAGAATGAGAATGATATGTGATACGGAAATCTAAAAGGAATCATTAAAGAGATGTTGCAACATTTGAAAATTGAGTTATTTATGCCAAATTATAAATAATTAAATTCCTAACAATTTGGTGTAAAAATTTTCGAAATATTTGAATATTTGGTGGTTATGGTAGTTTGAATGTATATTATCGGGAAAAGGGAAAACGCGTTTAAACTCTCGTAATTTAAACATATCACAATATTTTCAAAACTTAACATATTTAAGATACGAAATTAGCTTACAAATATTTGTTGGAATGTTCTTTACAAAACTAAATACAACGAAAAAAGAAATAACATATTTTGTTGCGTCTTGGGTCACGCAAAATTTTGTTTCCCGACAAATGGCCCCTTTTAGTTTTCTGCATCACATATAATCAGAAGTTGTTAATGCACGTTTGTGTGTTGCACAGAGCACCCATGGTTGTTTATTTATCCGCAGCTACATTCGTTCCCGCAGTAACTTTTGCGTGGCTTATTGCACGTCATCCTTGGCTCGCTGTCATGATGCTGCAGCGTTTCTCGCGATTCGCGGGAACACTAGAAGAACCACTCGCTCATGGTGGAAACAGGACGTCACTCGCTAACGCTGAGAGTTGTATTGAGTTATGTATATGTAGTGTGGGGGGAGGCAGAGGAGGTGGGTGGGGTAGGGAATTGCTATTTAAGCGACGCACAAACTTCAACTGAGAAAGCTTTATTGAGTTGTAGGCACATAGGATGAATAGGAAGTTTATACTATTGCTACGCCTTCTGTACCTTCACGTTTATTAAATCAGTGCGTGGACATACCATTTTGAAATAAATTCTTGGGATATGAACAGTGTTGATTTTCACTAAATTTCTCTCCGCGAATTTTGTATATTATTATTATTACGGTGTCCGATAAATTTTGTGTTGCCAAGCAAGATGTCATTACTAAGGCACATCGCCAGCCGAGGATTTTTACCTCTGCACTCATTAAGGTCTATTTCAACTATAAGAGTCATGTGTGATAAAAGTGCAGTTTCTTCTAGTGAAAAGAAGGTCGATGATCCCATGAGAATTCTTCAAGGTAATTGATAATTATACATTTACGTTAGAACTTTTAAAGTTGTAAAGCAATCTGGTGACAGTAAGTCACTTGCATATAAAGAATTCAATTGCTTCAATTGCTTCTGATCATCAAAATTTGAATGTGCAGTGATATTGCATCTTTCTTTGGTGTTGTAGATGGCAGAAATCACAAACCAGACAACATGGAAAAACGGTTCTTAGTATGGGCAGGAAAGTATAAAAGTTTAGAAGAAGTCCCTCCTACTGTGCCGTATGTATAGTTTTTAATGGCTTCATGTATAATATAGTTTTCTTTATAAATAATGTGTACATTTTATCATTGCAGTCAAGAAACAATGGAAAAGGCTCGTAATAAGATCCGTATTAAGATAGCCAATTACATGATGTTAGCCACAATACTAGGTTGCATTGGCTTTGTTTACAGTGGAAAACAGGCTGCGAAGCGTGGAGAGAGTGTTCAGAAAATGAATATGGACTGGCACAAGCAGATTAATGAAACTTCTTCAAAGTAAAGAAATCTGTGTTTTATCCAGTTAGTACCTGTATCTGCAGACATCTTTTAACCAACTGATAAGTTGAAATTTAGTTAAAATGTGTTGGTGTGCCTAAATTGCAAGAGTTAAATAATTTCAAACTAGAAAATCTGCAATAAGTGTATTTGACATATACTGTCAAAGAGAAAGACTTCTTTACCTTATTAAAAATTCTAATTTGTATACCATGTAACTATAGTCATGACATAAACTACTGTTTCTTTGTTGGAAGTCATAGAATTATTAGTGAAGAATGTAACATGGATAAGCAATTGTTTGTTATGTTTGTCTTTGGAATTAAAATACTTGTTGCTTCTATCTAGAAAATATAAAAACTGTATAGCAAGGACTGTTGTATAAAATAAACTATTTAACAGAAAAATCTTGTATATTTGAGCAACTACTAGCATACAAAATGTAGAAAAATATGAAAAAGGTTATCTACCTAGTATTACTCTGCTCCAGTTATTCTCTGAAACTTTTTCAACAGTTTTCAAGAATAGAACTCCTGAAACTTGTACTGAAAGCAAAATGTGTATCACTGTTAGATACACTTTCAAAATGTACACATTCAAATATCAATATATCTATAACCATTTACTTTCTAAAGGTATTAAATGAGGTATGCTTATAATAGCACTGCTAACTTTTCCCAGACATTTGAAAAATGATCTGCGTTCTAAGTTCATTTTTGCTAATTTCTTTTCTATATATGAAAGTACAAATTTTAACATTTCTACAGTTCAAGATCTGGCGGCTTATAAAATGGTCGACATCGTTCATAATAAATCTTGGTGCTGCGTTCTTTAACAACTTCTTCAACACTGAGCTCTGCCTGGAGTAACCGCAACTAAAAAAAAGAAAAGTCGAGTGTAAAGTACAAAAACTTAAGTTTCTTTTAGGCTAATGGTGGTTAACATTTGTTTTCATTAGTCAAGTGGAATCACATTTTTAAGGCTAAACCATAAGTCACATAGCATGAACACTTCCCAACTTCTGCATATTTTGGAATAACTTCAGACATCTACCTAGGTAAGTATATTGGTATCTTTTAGCAATTGTGTGTTAAGGGGACACTAGTTTTGAAATGGAATTTTCTTTGAACTATTACAATTTAATCATTTACTGTTTAAAAGCAACTCTTGTGACATTCTTAACTTCCAAATAAATGAATATTAGCTAATTACATGGCAGTTCACAAATGATTTCCACAATTTTCTGATAAACCACCACATCGCTCAAACTACATTAGATAGACATATAGCTGGTTGCCACCTTATTCTAATTTTGATTAATCGTTCTCTTCCCAAACTCCCTTTGGGTGTCCTGCTCCCCCTCATCCTCGTTTCATTTCAGATTGTAGTATGTGAACCAAATTTTGGTTAAAATTGGATCAGGAATTAGAGAATTATGGTGGAACACAGTACATAGGCCCCATATACATACGTTCCTAAAGAGGGATGAACGTCTGCATTACACACAAACTTTTGAACCACTGGAGAACCCCAAATTCTGCACAAATGAGTTTGAGTGGAGGGAGCGTTTAAGATCCCAAAATGTCACCTCCAGAAATTTGTTACTAGAAACGATGAGAGCATCAATGAGCAATAGCATTATTGGCAAATGACTGAGGAGTCGGTGGGTGTAGCAGTCGGAGAGGATGTAGAGTGCAAGGTTGCTTAATAGACGATGTTTTAATTCAGAGCCATCCTGAACTTACAAAATAGAAGAAATAAAACAATATTAACTTATTGTGTTTATTAATTTCAACCGTGTTTAGTTCCCTTCAATTATTATTACCCAGCATCTTGCCTGTTGATGTTTGCAGCCTTAAGAAGAAGTTAACATTTGACCAGTCACTAACTACACTATAATATCTCGAATTCACTGATTTAGATATCACCTCAACAAAACTGTCCCACTGTAATGTTCAATCTTTTATGAAACTTTTTTTATTAATGAGTTACCATTACAATTTTGTTGCCTGAAATTTAAAAATAGTTGTTATATGGTTTCTCATGTTCCTTACTGATAAATATCTCGAGATGTCCTTTTTTGCTTTTGGACAGTACATGTAACTTCACTTTCTGTACTCTAGAAGACGTGCACATTGTACAGTCTCCACATACATCATTTGACTAATCATACTAAATTGAAATTGTATATTTGACTCAATAAATATTACTAGTGGTTTACATCATTATTGTAGTATTCCATTTTCAAATCTTTGTAGAAATAGTATTATACGATTAAATTTTTTACCTGTAAATGCAATCTATTTTACAACCTTGCACTCAAAATAACTATTATTGCGTTTTGGAAAACTCACACGACTTAAAATTTTGTGTAGTAAGTTAATTTAGAAAACTCATGATTACATATAATTCCAATTATACAATAAAATTAAAGGAAAATGTATTTTATTTTACCTTCGTCTGTTCTTTTCGTAAATGTTTCAAAAGTCCAATATCATCTGGTTTCTTTTCCCTTTGGGTCTTCAGTTCACGTACTTTATTTGCTACCTGAGTAATGCATGTTTTAATGGAAGCTTCCCTTTTCTCATAGCTACCTTTTAACTAGAAACAAGTGAGAGGAATTAATGTTTATTGCACAGTTTAATTTATGATAGATAATTCATTCACAGAAATGCCTTTACCTGTTCATACAGTTCCTTGCATGATGCAGAAGGATTGACCTGACCTTTAAACGAATCTGTTGGAATGGTAGTATTGAGGGCGTACACAATCTTATCATCGACAATTCTCATCTTTTTCAAAGCATCCTGGAATCACGAAATTGGTTAACTTAAAAAAATGCATCGAATTCATATTTTTTATAGAATGCGTGATGATCACTTGTATATTTCCGGGCATCGTTAAATGATAGCTACTTTGTAATCTAATTCAATTTATACATTCATTTAATTTTTATTTCCCAGTGTCGCCACATTTATAGGTTAAGTACATTTCACTTGTTTACATTTATGAGAAAAGTACCAGTATACAAACCCAGCTACATGTAAACATATCTTAAAAACATCACGCATTCACTGTGCACATGGTGAAATTGTACCTGAAATTCCAGAAAGTCACCGCACTCGGAATTCATGGACGCAGCCATTTTTTGAATTAATCTCGATTCCAGATACGTTTCCCATCATCCTCTAAAAGCGAAAGGCCTTGAAGTTGAATGCTCCGAAGGAAGAAGTTTCCATGAAAATTTCTCTTTAAAAAGATCGTGAATCAGCCTTTTGGGAAGGTAATGGTTGTCTCGCAGGTTTTTATATTGATGAAATGCATTTGATTTTTATGGTTCTGATGTATGGACTGTTATTTTGATTGCTATTCAATGTGTCCGAATTATAATCGTGTGTGGACGTCAAGTATAATGTTCTGACAATATCGTTTCTCTCATGTGACCCTTCCGTACGGTATTGTGATTCAATAAAAGCACGATTAAACCCAATACTAATTATTTTCTCTGTCTGAGGCCGATGTATATGCAGTCAATTTGTGTACTTCAAAATTTGACAGCATGCAAAAAAAATCAATAGATAATATGTTGACCTTATGAGTCACCAATAATTTTTGTGATTGAAAAGTATGAATATTTAAATACTTAGCTCATATGTTTTTGTACATGTAGTTGTGTTATGTTGTGTGAAAATTTTCATTTCTAATAATGTTAAATGTTCATAGATGTCAGGGCCTACTCACAAGTATCGATATAAAAATGTTGGCCTGGATTCACAAGAGCTTCGGAGGCGAAGAGAAGAAGAAGGTGTGCAGTTGAGGAAACAAAAACGTGAACAACAATTATTTAAACGTCGGAATGTGCTTATGCCTATTTTGCCTGATGATGAAGGCAGTATGCAGGTAGGTGATCTATTCATTCTAGATTTTTCTATTACGATTGAGACAAATACATGGATTTTGTTTTAATACTTTAACTTCAAACTATATGTCAAAATATTCTAAATTCTCTTAATATCCTTTTATATGTTTTCTGATTTCCTATGAGAAACATGTCGTTTGGTGCAGTAGTGGCATATCTCAAAAAAGCTTTTGTTTCAGGTTTGCATGAGACACAAAGTAGTAAATCATCCAACCATCAGCTCTCTCACAATTTGTTAGGAACAGTTACACTAGAAGCAAGAGCTCCTAATTCTATTTTCTGTTTACTAATAATTTGTTACTGACAAATATTTAGTTACACCATTGATGTAGCAAATGAGCACTGTGTTTTATGCAATATTTTGTCACCCCAAGCAGAGAATAATAGATTGTGTCTTTTGAAAATAATTATATCTAATTTGTGATCATTTACCTAATTGATTAAATGAATCATGTGCAACTTATTTCACACATGTATATTTGTGCATGTGTTTTGGGTTGTACAAGTAACTGTCTGTAGTCATAAAGGAATGATAATGAGTAAACCTCTCAAAAGGTGACATCTTTATTAAACTACTCATGTTTTACATATCACCATAAACCAAACTAAACTGAACCATATTTATTTTTAATGAACTAAAGAATGTATCTCAGGATTACATAATATTTAGATGTTTATGAAATAAATAAAATGTTGTATTAACTTTGGATGAGATAGTGCTTGGTACACTTTGGGTTTTACATGTTATCCTTATCAAGATTTCACATTTCTCCCGTCTGATTAAAATGCTATTTTCATTTAATTTAACGTATTACAATAATTATAGCAGAAGGTAATCTATTTGTTTTTACCTTTTATTTGGATTTCTAATTGGATTCTACTTTGATGATGGTCAATGAAGAACGTCTTAATGTTACTGTTCATTATCTGCCAGATCTTTAATTTTTTTATGCTTTTGAATAAAATACAGGATGACATTAAATACATATTATAAACAACCATCACATATTGATTGCTGCTATTTACAAGAAACGTTTACGTAAAGTTAGTTTCCTAGTGATACATTCTCATCTCTCTGGGGATTATCTTCAGACATGAAGGAAAAATATAGGCATAGCTATAGACATAGGAAAAATAAGTCACATTTTATAAATGGTCACAAATAAGTTGTGTTTACTACATAATACAAAACAAAATTTGGAATTTTTACTTCAAAAAACTATATGCTCCTATTTGCTGATAGTAGTTCTGCACATTGATTTTACTTCTTAGTAAATTGCAGTAAAACTTTTATTAATACAGGTTTGTTTTTGGTTGCAGGAAGATATTATGTCACATGTTAATGCACCAGGCATTACACCAGGGATGGTGCAGGCATTGTATAGTTCTAATGTTCAAGATCAGTTAGCTGCAACTCAAAAGTTTCGCAAACTCTTGTCACGAGAACCAAATCCTCCAATTGATGAAGTTATTCAAACTGGTATTGTTCCCAGATTTGTGGAATTTCTTCAAAATAATACCAATTGTACATTGCAGGTGGTTATATTGTGATAATAAAGTATTGACCTGTTCTTATTGGTCAGCAAATAAGTGCTGAAAATGTTTTCTTGTCTATAGTTTGAGGCTGCGTGGGCTCTGACAAATATTGCATCTGGGACCTCTTTACAAACTCGCATGGTAATTGAAGCTGGTGCAGTGCCCATATTCATTAGACTTTTAGGATCTGAATATGAAGATGTCCAAGAGCAGGCAGTCTGGGCCTTAGGAAATATTGCTGGTGATTCTCCAGAATGCCGAGATCATGTGCTGGATTCTGGAATTCTTGTACCTCTTTTGCAGTAAGTGCATTTTCTAAAATTATATTCTCCTAATTTAGAATTATTTCATTGTAACTTGATGTGTTTCCAACTAATTCAGACATAACCTCCTTAGTAGAAATATACATTTTACTTATATATTAACTTCAAAACAGATGTTCTTTTGTGGAATGGATTAACATTTATATAAAAGAAGTCTTTGCTTTTTTGGAATGTTATTGCAATGCAAAAGCTTATTTTATTAAAGGGAACACAATTTAATTTTTTCACAATTTCAATTGCCTCTCATTAATCGAGGTTCAGTAATATTGCCTTGCAAATTCGGCTGAAGTCTAGTGTACGGTACTACTTAAGGAAGTTGTTTAAACCGGCACTTCATTCCCCTCCGACTGTAACTGCGCAGTTTGAATTCTGGAGGCTTTTTGAAAAGAGCTTTCTTATAAAAGAGAATTGCTAATTACGCGTTGGATAGGCTCAAAGATGATTATAGTGAATGCGAGGGCAGAAGGCTCGAGCCTCGTCATGTCTTGGATTCGGGCGAGTGAAGCGAGAAAACTTGCCGTTTAAAGTAAATTGACATTACAATGTGTCTGGGAAATTAAATTGCATATCCGTAAGTGTCATTCATTTGTATCAGAGCGTTTAGCGTAATTTGAGGGAGGGCTTAAGGAGACCCCTTCCCCCCTGCTGCTGCGCTTCTGCGAGGGTGTACGTGTACCCTACTTTAACCGCAACTTCTAAAAACAATAAATAAATTAATTAAAAAAATAAATATATATACTTATTCTCTTTAATTCTTAATTTATTAAAGTGGACATTTTTTAATTGCGAATTTGGGAAAGTATTAGAATCTTTTAAATTGAATCACTATTCTACAAACTATCTTAGTAATTTGGGTGCAAGAGTGGTAGTCATTTGGGGAACTCAACTCTAAATTCACCGGTGTTTCTTGAAATATTATTCACAAATGCAAAGCTAAAATACCAATACAATACTACAGAAAAACATTTTTATTCAGCACTTACGTTCTTGTATTATTTGTAACAGCTACACAATATTATAGTACTACATGAACATGCAAGTGTTTCCAAGCTGCAAAATGTTTTTCTCCTCACTCAGATTGAAACTCTGGCCCTTCGAGTTATCGTACCATGCATTTTAACATTAAATCATGCCATTGCTCGCCCAAACGACTTTTTTCTGACACTTAAAAAAATGTATGGTATCTCTTGTTATGCAATTTTCAAAGATTCAGAACTTCAGAACAGTGAAAGAGAGACCTGCGCCAACTTTTTAAGCAACCTGTGCTATATAGAAAAAATTTAAAGCAAAAACTTTTTTTGGGAAAATGTTTTGTTTTCAAATTGTGTACAATATCAATTTTTTGCAATTTTTGAAAGTTCAATGTGTGCACAAAATGGGACCAGCGCCAATTTTTTACCATTGTTTGCTACATATGAGGAACAATGTTTTTTATGTATAATACAGGGAAAAAAAGGAAACATTTGACCTTTTTTGAGAAAATAACTTTTGAGAAAATTGTATAGTTAAAGCAAAATTATACAAAAACTACTCACAATTTCAAAAACTTATATATGATCTTATTTCAAGATCTTTATTTGATCTACAGGTTTCATTAAGAAGAAAATTATTGTCTTCAATAATATGATTACAGAAAAAGGCCAATAAATGTTAAACTTTTGGAATTGCTGAGCCTTCATGTAAAGTATAAACCAAAGTATCCAAACTAGCATGGCTTTGAGTATGTTTAGATCAATCGGGGAATATCAAGTTTGGAGAAAATCATCAGAGCAATTTACAATGCGTGAACAAAAAATTATGAATTTCCATAAATTCTTATATTTTATTGCTATATTTGAGTTTTTATATTACACTTACAAAGCTCTTGCCATATTTCATAAGTTATTAATGAATGTACTTATTTTCGTATTACTCATGTAATCTAATACTTGATAGCACCATCTATTGCTTTAATAACTGCCACAATGAGTCTTGGCTTCCTGTAGACTCTCTGTGCCACAAATTCAGCAAGAGCTGCATTGTGTTGCCATACCTGTTCTAGACGCTATTTATATTGAGGAATATTAGATATCATTGGACTACTGAGATAACATATCATAATATTCTACATCCCTTCTATGGGATTTAGGTCTGAGCTATTCCCTATCCAGTTCAATACTTGGATGCTGCAGATGACTCTTGATAAATTTTAAAGTATGGCAGGGTGATCCATCCTGCATGAAAATTCCATCATTTCTGGATACCAGGCACCCTTTTGTGGAATTAGGCAAGTATCCAGGACAAGTTTGTACTATTCCTGGCCTAACGCCAAGGATTTTGATCGCGTTCCATTCCATAAGTTTACTGCAATACTTACTGTTTCCTTAACACACTCGGACTTAAACTGCTCTCCAGATCATCATACTTGCTGCGCTGCTCATCTTGCGTAATTTTCACCATTAACTCATCTAAGCAACCCAGCAACAAGGAAACAAATGGAGCAAAAAGTATGAAAAAATCAGTAATTGATAATATTTTTTAAATTTTGATAAAGACTGCAACAGAGGATTGTCAGTGAACATAATAAAGCATAAGAACAAATAACTTTACTTTTAACCAATCATTTGTAGTCCATTCTCTATTCCTCAAAGCCAAAGATAAATGCTTTCTTATTGTAGCTGGTGTTAACTTTGGTCTTTTTGGTCAGTGGCATTGTAAATCACATCCAAGACATCACCTATGAACTGAACTGTCTCTGTGTTTTGTGAAGGTTGTAACCTGCATTACTTAAAAAAATCGTGAATGTTCTTAATGGTAACTTAAATGTTTCTAACAACCTTTTTGGTACAGAGAGCAATTTTTTTCCAACATCTGTTCGTGCCTTTGCATGGTCTTTCTCAGTCCCGTACAGTTTTACCACTTGTTGTAAGTGGTTCACCGAATTCCATCTTTTTTTTAATTATTCCAAATCTTTGTGGGGAAACATTATTTTTCCTGCACATTCCACACACTGTCAAGTTCAAAAACTTCAACATATACTGAATATCCCTTTTTCTCTTTGATTCAGGACTTGTCTTTTTCCCATTGCAATTGTTTCCTTATTAACAACAAATGTAAAACTCAATTCATACTATATTCACTTAGAAAACTCTGATAATTACTAACTCAATGAAGTTCAACAGTGCAACTTCTTTTCTGAACAGTGTGAATAATAAGAGAGACAAAACCAATCACACTTCCTATGAATGGCAGCACTTTCACCTCATACCAGAAAAACTCAGATTTCTAAAATATGTAGTGGTGGTGAACTGAATTTCTGCCTTATTCAAGACAAAGGAAAAGCCCTACATTCATTTTTAGTCAGGCAAATAAACTGAGTGAGCTGAGTGATAAAGTTGCTAAAAAATTCTGAAATGGGATCAAAAATAGATATTCCTAATTTGTTGTCCAGTTACTGTAGGTGCTAGATCAGACTGACAGAGGATGTTGCAATCCACATTTCAGTATCAAGGACCCACAAAACTTAGATTCTGACTACACAACATGTTAGAGGAAGTACTACATATAGAAGCAAGATTTATTCACTTTTTCATTCCCAGAGCCTGACAATAAACGTTTTTTCTGTTAAACAACCGCTGATTTCCTTTACACGATTACTGTACTTTGTCCTGTACTGTACTGTACTGTACGTAGTTGCCATATGGTCTCACAAGAACTCACTTATGGCCATAATCATTTACTCCAGCTATGCTTTTTTTTAATCTCTTAAAGAGTTTGTATGGTCCAATTGCAGTTTTTAGAGTTGTGAAAGACGTGGGTTCTTAATAGTATTTGTAGTAAATTAATAGTACTACATTAAGTATTAGTAAGACAGATAAAGCAGTACTATTTGGTAGAATGGCATATGCTAACACTTTAGTAATAATTGTAATATTCTGAAAAGTTTCTTTAGGTACACTGCGTTTAATAAAATAAATGCTCATTAACCAACTGATTTGTTGCCATGTCAAGAAAAATGAATTAATGAAGGAGTAGATGGGAGTGGGAACTGTGCATTTGCTCTGTCCTGTTGAAGGCCATGGCAAAATGTGATGTGAATACATTGAATGAAATGAGTATGTTGTTTATATATGGATTATAATGGTATTTATGTGACAGGTAATATCAATAAAGTAATTGATAAAAAGTAAATAATATGATGCAAAGATACGAGAAGGAAGCATTCTGTTAGCCATGCACCTTCCCTCACTCAGAGAGTTAGGAGAGAGGGAATTCCCATGCCTTCAGAGATAAGCGACCCCAAGGTTGAATTCTACGCTGCCAGCTGAATCTCCTCTACTTGAATGTCCGGCTGCCATGACTAAATCATGTGTCACAGAGAATTTAAAACAAGCTTACAGATGAACTCATTTCTTTATGAACATCTCTGCCTATTGCATTCAATTAACAGGGATTCCATTTTATAAAGATTTTGTCCCCTATGCTGGACATGAAAAATTATGTCATTTCTGTGTTGGAGAGGTTCTGTTTTATGCTGTGTAAAATGCCATTTAACTTCACTGATGTCATTTTTTCAATACCCGTATTCATTTAATCATTTCTGAGTAAAATTCATTAATTCAATGAATTCTAGAAGCAGCTAAAATGAGTTATTATCCTCAAAGGTTTAATCAGTGTTTTTTAAAAAGTACAAAGTTTGCTGTAGAAAACTTTTGTCATTTGGGTTGATTAGAACTCTTCTGTGTCCTGAACTCAGCATATAACATTCATGACTTTATTAACTTATTAGATTAACACTAATATCCTCCTAAACATTAAAAGGTGCACACCTTCTATTGTGTACAAAACATCTTTTAAACTGTTTCATGGAAGGAAGTACCAGGCTCTGTAAGTGATGTTTTCATCAAACCTATCGATAATGCGAAAGATGAAAGTCACAAATGGAGTTCTTGTAGGATAAGAAATATCTGGAGAATCACAAGCCTGCAATAAGAGACAGTTGGACATCCTTTATGCAAGATAGGTTGAGATTCTAAATGTTTGTTCATTGCATTAGTGCATTTTGAAGAAGGGGTATTTTGGTTTGCATGCTAATTTTTAAAGGAATATATAAGAATTTAAAAAAATGTTTTTAAAATTTCTTTTCTACAATCATTGCTCAAGTTCAGAAGTGAAAGAATTGAACGAAATGAGCTAGTAATTTAAATATTGTTTATTGCAATTATTGTTTAGCCTGATAGTAATGCATCGAAAAAATGACAAAAAATGAAAATGAGCCAAAATGACTTTTTGTAAAGCTTAAAATGTTGTTTATAAAATCCTGTCCATAATCATGATACTTTGAAAGCATGTTTTCAAATTTTCATAATTCCTTTTTAAGAAGACATACACTTTTTGATGCCATGTAACCACGATTTGTAATGGGGAATTAATGAATTTTTGTGACCATGTGCAGAAATTGGATGATTTGCTGAATCTAAGTAGCCTGTCATGATTGCATTTTTATTCTGAAATGCATAAGATTTGGAAAATGTTCCAAATAAAGAACTTGTGGAACTTACCTACCAATAGATGTTTAATTTTGAAAACAAATTCTGTATGGTAATGAAATTCCTCTAACAAATTGTTTGATTTAGCTCAATTCTGATTATAAAATACTTCAAACTATACAATAGCAAGTACAACTGATTTTGAAAACTTGTAAATGTAGTTTTGTTCAAGTTATCATTATTATCTCCCATCAATACAAATGTTTATATCAGTAGCTGACCACTTAATTTTACTTCATACATAACTGATTGATTCATGTAAATCTTTATTCTTGAGTTAAGTATTATCGACATGGATGTTCATTCAATGTAGAAAATATTTCACTGTAGCTTGTATGTTACATTTGTGTACATTGGTTAAATGCCATGATTAGTAAGTGAATGCTTTGCAAAATGCTCTTCCATGTTTCTCATTTGGTTTTGTACTTGCAAAGAGAGGTTTAAAAAAGAAGTTAAACTATGAGGTTGTGAATTGCTAGATAATTATTATAAATATCTTCTCTTCACCTAGCAGCGCTTATTTCAATTTATTGTGTCCCTTTTATCAATTTCTATCTTGCTTGTTTTGCAACAAAATGCATTGTTTTAATATCCATAAATTGTGACAACTTATTCTTTCAGATTATTGAGTAAATCAACCAGACTTTCTATGACAAGGAATGCTGTTTGGGCTCTTTCGAATTTATGCCGAGGCAAGAACCCACCTCCTGAATTCGGAAAAGTTAGTCCTTGCCTTCCGGTGCTTTCTCGTCTGCTCTTCCATGCAGATGGAGATGTTTTGGCAGATGCCTGTTGGGCTTTGAGTTATCTCTCGGATGGTCCAAATGACAAAATTCAAGCCGTAATTGATGCTGGTGTGTGCCGCCGCCTTGTGGAACTTCTCATGTAAGTATAAAACTATTTCAACATTGTTGAGAATTCTGTATTTCCTGTCCAAGTATTTGCAGTATTAAAATCTTAAATTTAAAACATGTAATCCCCAAAATATATTGTCTGCATTGTATTTGTTATTGTTTAGTTTCATTTAAAATAATTTCATGTAAAATTTATTTTTTTACAGAATAATGATAAATGATTCAAGCACTGTAGCATAAATAAGAACTGAAGTTCAGATGCATTCTTGATAGTGTATGGGGTGATTATAGATGGCAGGAGTATGTGCCAGTAGGTTAATTGTATAAAGCAATTAAAGTGCCAGCGATCCAAAGTGTGTGTTTAATGTATTATAGGCAGGGTATCATTTGCATTAAGTGAGTTGTCTGCTTGAAAGTGTTGTTTACTGGTGTTCTTGTTGTCATGTTTTTGTTCAATGTTTTAGCATGGTGATAATAACATATACAATGTAGGGAAGGTGATGGACATGAGATGAAAATGTAAATATTCTTGTCAATCCTTACCCTACTTGCAAAGGAAGCAGCTATTCCAAGATCTTTATAAAAAAGATCATAATTAACAACAGAATTATTTACTATGAATTATATCAGCAAAACTTGTTATTAGGCAAAAGCTTACTTAGAATTATCCATCTCAAAGTAGGTGTCAAACAACTGTCATTTACACAGTGCCTAATGGTGTGTGCAAACTTGTCCAAGTGTGCCGACAAACTTCCAATGCAATTTTTTCTGTCATCTAAGAGACTGTAAGGGTTGGTGGAAATGAAAAAAACAGCAACAGGTAATTCCATATACGTGGAGAAGAAAAGAAACACAAAGAAATACAGGAAGTACAGTCCTCAACATGTAACTCTTCCTCTGGCCACATCAATTGCATACCACATGAGGTGAGCCTCAATGGTTGAAAGAAATCTGACAGAATATCTTAGCCGCAAAGCTTACAAAGCTTTTGAAGTGCAGTACCCAGAAACAGAAATCTGATATCGTTTTTATTACAATATTTTTAAATGAAATTTTCAAACCTTGATTTCCAAGATCTGATACATGTCTTATTTTTGATCACTATTCAGCTCAGACCAAGAACTTGCTAGAGGCAAACTTTGCAAGAAAAATTGAAACTCCACCATTTGAAAGCTAAAAAGCCAGATCAAAGATGAATATAGACTTTACAAAGCTCAGAGTCCCAATTCAAACGAGTCTCTCTTCACTACAGACCTTCAGCGAGTTCTTTTGTTCCCCATGTTGACACACTCTCAGATGTTTTACTCCTGCTAGCTGTGAGTTAAACACATTTCCATGTTGGGAGAAGTTTAATGGAACTTGGTTGTAAGAAGTGTAATGAATCTGTGGCGTGTATCCCAGCTTGGCAGGGGGCAAATGAAGTAGTATCCTTTGTTTTCCAAATTATTAAAGATGTTTGCCTTGCTAGAAAGTGTTTAACAGTTTGGAGTGACAGCTGCTGCAGACAAAGCAAGCAAAATTTTACTGTTTTTGTGGCTATACCTTGATACAATAGGCCTAATGACCAAATTAATCAAAACATTTCTAGTAAGTGGGCATTTCTTTCTAGACTGGGATTTTGCCCTTATAGAGAAAATATAATATGTTCCACAATGCATTGTGCCAGCAGATTTTAAATGTATGATTGAATGTCATGGAGGAAAAAAACTTCTTTTCACTGTAAACAAGCTGCTGAGAAATTTCTGTACACAACCAAACTAGAGATATCTAAAGCACAATGCACTAAAGCACAAACTTTCTGGTGCCTCCCTTGGTGTTGTTCAAATCAAGAAAACAAACAATGTTGTTGAATGCTGGACTGACTACAATGTTTTCCATAGGGATGTAACTAAGAACATAATAGCGAATTGTCAACTTTCATATTTACCCTGCAATTCCACTAGATCTCCACTAGCAACTCCCTAGAAGAAAAGAAAGATCTGAAGAGAATGATTGCATTCCTTCCAGACAAACATCATAGGAAGTTTTATGAGAAGACCTTACTGCTGAATGAAGTAATATTGGCGGCTATGAATAATTTGACAATAATGTTCTTCACCATTATAATGTTTACATGTTTATGTGATTTCAATAAGTTTGTAATGAAGAGGTGATTATATTAGGGTATTATACACATTGGTACTTCATTTACTTTTTATGTTAATAAGACTGACACTTTGAATGGATAACATTATAACACTTTGAAAATATTTTGTTATTAGAGTATTGAAAATCTTATTGTTTAATTACTGTTACATACTCAGGAAGTGAGAGAAATTGTCACGTACCATCACTTTAACCCTCTAAAACCTCTATAGTGAGAAACAAACCTCTCTCGGAAAAAGTCGTTTTTCCCTCATGGACTTTTATAACTGAGACCCATTCTAAAATTTAGTGGAACTAACAGCTATAGCACCATAGGCTTTCTCAGCTGGAGTCAATTTCAGACGAAGTTTCTGGGCTAGTAAGCCGTGGTCCAGTTGGCATTGAAGGGCCAAATGTTTCGTCCACGACTGGTCGACATCCTCAGTGACGACAGGATCGCGGGTGCAGTATCTGGGGCTCCAGTTGCCAGCAAACTGCCATGCCACCATGCTATATATAATAAGTACAAATATCATAGGATTTTTCAAAATTGAATATTCCCCTGCCTGTCTGACCTGGCTGGAAGCTCTGTGATTTTGTAACACCTTCAAATTTTGGCAGTACTTTTCATGGAGCCCATAGTACATTTTCATGAACTTGTCAAAAATGGCTCCAATTTTTTTCCTTCAATTTCTTGGAAGAATAGAGTGGAATCACTGATAAACATGCATTGGTCAAATTTTCACTTTTAACTCTGAATTTTTGAAAATTGGAAATATTTTTTAGCATCTTCCTACAACTACAAAGTTGAAGATGAAGGTTTTCTGTTCATATTTTAGTTTGCCTAAAATTTCATGTGCAGAAGTTTTAAGGGTGTTTTGATACCATCCAGTTACTTAGTATGTTATTTGAATCATTGGGGAATATGTTTTCTGTTTTCAAAGCAAATTTATGTTGAGTCTCTAAACATTTTATTTTGTCTAAATTCCATTTAAATTTTTTCTTTTTGTCTACTTTCCTCAGTCTTATGTTGCATTTTGCTACGATCAAAACATTGTAGGTGCAAGGTGCAAAATAGCTTGGGCTAGGTTTTATTTGGTTTTTAAATCTTTGTTTTATTAATATGTAGTCATTCTGTCTTGTCTTATATCTCGTGGTGCTTTCCAAGTATACCTACATCAGAAGGGAACTTCAAACACATCGTCCAATTGTACTTTTTTCTAAAAACTGTCTTCCTCTTTTGTCCATGTTTCTTAAACCATGTCTGCTTGTAGTCTTTTTATTTATGTGGCTTCTTACTATGGCATTGAAGTCTACAAATGCAATGATATTCTTCTTGGGATTTGTCATAGTCAATAGTTCTATAATTTGTTTGTAAATCAATTCTAAATCATCTTCCTCTGAGCTTGTTGTTGGAAAGTACACTTGAATGAGAATCAGCTCAACCAGTATCATTGCAGTTCTTACCTCATTATCCTGATGTTTACTTGGAAGGTGTTGAGGACATTCCAAGTCCACTCTCCTTTCAATAATATTGCAACACCATTGTTTTTTATTTTGCATCTTCACTAAATCTTATTCCAAATTCTTTATTGTTAAAATTTCCTTTCCCTGATCACCTAATTTCTGACAAACCTAAAATGTCAATATGTTTCTCTTTCATTTTAGCTTTAATTTCCTCCATTCTCCTTATTTTCAGAAGTGTTCTTACATTCCATCTTCTAATTGTTCCATTACATTCCATGTTCCTTTCTTAGACTTCTCTGTTTTATGGCAAGGATTTCTCGTGTATATGACCTGGGAAGCCTCACCATACCTTCTCCTGCCAGATCTTGGTATCCGAGTCCCATGATCAGTAACTTCAACTTCTATTTCTCTCATCTGTCATGTCATGTTGGCATATAAGAGTATATGAGTTATGGCATTTAAAATGTAAGTAGATTTTGTCACTTTTAAAGATGATTACTGTCTGCTCTTTAGTGTTTGTGATTAAAATTTGATATTATTTTTATGAACGATAAATGATGTACAGGGAACTAATTAACAGGGGGCGGGTTTTAATGAAATGTCATCCTATATTTTTCCTTTTCACTTCAGAAAAAAATCTGTTTAGTATAGAAATTAATTTTATGGTATGATGAAAGGAAATGACCTGTTTTTGTGTCTTTTTGCATTTTTCATTTTTTTCCCTCTGTCATTTTTTACCTTGTTCTGTCATTTTTAAAGTATTTTTTCACTGTTTTCATCGATATTAATATCATTTTAATGGTACTTACTTCAAATAATATTTACAAGATACAACAAAATAGTCTCTTCAGAATTCCTGAGTAGCCTGTTTGATTTCCTCACTCAGAAATTGTAATGTCAGCCATTGGGAGTATGTAACCTAAGGTTCCAGTGATGCTTATGAGCACCATTGTTGGTTCCTCCAATTTTGGGTTAATTAAAGTCTGAGATTTTCTGTTAAAGAACAAAGCTGAGTTCACTTGAAGGAAGAGAAGAAGCGTCAATTACAGCAGTAACGAATCCAGCTTAAATTGTTGTTCATCTGAACTGGTTTTAATCACATTTTTTCACATCGTTTCTTTACTTTTAGTGCATTTTTAAAACATTTTAAGAGAATTTTACTGATCATTTTTGGCTATATTTTAGATCACCGAAATCTGCCCTATACTAATGAAAATTATAATATGAAACAAAAATACTGTTTAAATCAAAATTAATTTAAAAAAATGCTCCTACATTGTAACATGTTCATCTTCATTTTTTAGGTTATTTCAAGCTTTTTTTGATTGTAAAGAAGGCAATTGAATCTTAGTGTGAAAAAAGTCTTTTAGATGAATTTTTGTTTTATTAGTAATGATGATTATGTGTACTGACAAAGTATTCTAAAACTAGTAGCAACAGTATGTTTTGTGTCAATTATAAATATTTTTCGGTATTGAGTGATGGTTCAACTATTTAGTGTCCACTTAGTATAATGTATTAGTTCCATCTTAATTTGTATTCTAAACTTCGTAGGCACAATCAGCATAATGTAGTTTCGGCAGCATTACGAGCAGTAGGGAACATTGTGACTGGGGATGATGTCCAAACACAAGTCATCCTGAATTGTTCTGCCCTTCCCTGCCTGTTGCACCTCTTAGCTTCTTCAAAAGAATCAATTCGTAAAGAAGCGTGTTGGACGATATCAAATATTACTGCTGGAAATAGGCAGCAAATTCAGGTGGGTATTTATGTCTGAAAGTGTGTTCAATTATTGCATTGTAGGCTGTATGTATGGAATAAAAATTTCCTTTAGGAAAATATCAAACATGAATTGAGAAGTAATAATAATGCTGTTTTTATGTTTTTAGGCGGTCATTGATGCAAATATATTTCCTGTCCTCATTGAGATCTTAGGAAAAGCAGAATTTAAAACACGGAAAGAAGCTGCTTGGGCAATAACAAATGCCACATCTGGAGGTACAGCAGAACAAATTCGATACCTTGTGGATCAGGTAAGACCATAGAAATGTGAAGTGAAATCATTGAAAGTGGTATCCTCAGAATATTTAAAGACAATCAAACCTCTTGTATATTTTAGAACATAAATATTTTTATTCTTATCAAACATACTAAAAGCTACATTCCATGATACAATATGGCTGCATCATTAAGTAGTCATGGTGATTAGTTATGAGTTATGATGTCAAGCCATTATAACAATTAAACCTGTTTCTTTATAAATAAAATTTTAATATTGAAATATGAAATAACATTTCCAAAGCAAATTTTAAATAAGATTTAAATTAGCATTAAAAATTAAAAGTTAAATACAAAAGTAACATAACATAAAAATGAGAATGGTATATGAATATAAAAATATGAAGCACAAGTCTTACCTGACAAAGAAAGGAAATTAACAAATTATAAAGCACAGTCAAATAAAATAAAGTAAAACTAGAGAAGGGACTCAAAATGACCCTAGTCCCAGGTTGAACACTACTGATGAAATCCCCAAAAGCCCAATGAAGGGACCCCAAGATAAAAATATGTGAAAGTGGGGGGCCTAGAAGAGAGGAGGTAAAATAGAACATGTGGGGGGCGGTAAGGCCAGCAGGAGCAAGGCAAAAACAAACAGAAAAAGAAAAACACAAAACTCTTGGGTTATACCTTTAATTATTCTACGAATCGTAATTTCACTTGGCACTACACATTGTCGTAAGTAGAGCCCAGAAGTTTGACAAAATGCCTTTTTACTATTGTTATGATTTTATGTCTTTTAACAATAGAAATCACTGTATTATACTTTTGAAGTGGTTTAAGTGCATTTTCATTTTGCCTATTTTAGCTTCTGATGCCTACTTGTGCCTTTTTCTGTCTTATCCATCATTATGCTTTTCTTTTTCCCGTCCTGACACCAATCTATGAAGCTGCGCAAACATACCTGCAAGCCTGGACAAATGAAGAATGGTCGTGTATTGTCTTTCTGTGGGTACAGGGACTCAAGTGTAAGGTTGTGTTAAAAATCTAAAAGGGAAAGGAAAATAATACCAATGAAGATTTTTGACATTTTACATTGATGCTTACAGACTTGTTCGCTCATGATAAATATCTTTCTATATTTGTAAATGGCCTCGAATCCCTTTCGAGAACAGAGCTGTCGGTACCTGATATACCCGTCTCAATTTCTTCTTGTTCTCTCTTCCCTTCTGGGAATTACACAAGTGCAAAGAACAAAATCTATAATTTGTTGATACTATTTCAAGATTAAAAAGGGAGACTACAATATCATTGTGTAGGCGCGAGTAACATAAATTCATAGTCTTCATACTGGATAGTTATGTGCAATCAAGATTACAAAGGAGTAGTAGTTTCCTTCCACATAAGTGCTAAGGTATATTTTAGAGTTAGAATAAAAATGTGAAACGTTTTAATTATTAATGTTTTACATTCATTACTTTCAAATGTTTCCTGAGTTAACCCCCTACTTTAGCCACAATAAATGATTGTTTTGGATTTTTTATTTTAGTAAAAAAATAAATGCCTTTTTGTAAGCCTATTTTAGGTAAAATAAATGTATAAACTTCTGAGCTCTAGTCATATGAATTGACATTTGAATTGACAATCTGAAGAATCATATTGTTTAAGGTCTCAGAAATCAACTGAGAGTATTTCCTAGATTCCATTTCCAAAATTGAAAAATGTAAAGTATGAAGAGACAGGAAATTAAATTTAATTTAGAATTGTAAGCATCAACGTTATTATTAGAGAAAGGATTTCCTTGCAAATGCATGTTTTTACATATGCTTTGCATTGCTTTCAAAATGTAAATATGTACTTTCCTGTCACTTTGTAAATATTTTTTTCATGGCTTACTCATTTTAAAAATGTATACTTTTTCTATGCATGTTTTGGTAGTTATGAGAAGAAATTCGTGCACAACGCATGTTTGAACATTTTTAATTAATACTGCGTATTTTGACATTGTGTAGCATTTAGAAACTTTTTTAAAGCTTTTTTGCATAATTAGTGAAAATTAAAATTTAAACATATTTTATATAAGTAGCATATTATTCTTAGATCCTGACAGTATGGAGTTATCTTTGTTTATTGTTATACTAGAAATTTCAACCCTCTGGTACACAGCTAAAATTTGCAAAGCCAGTACACGCATTGTGAGCCACAATTGCGAAATGAATCAATACCAAGCAATTAAATAACAAAAGATAATAAAGATAGGGATGCCGTAGGAAAAATATCATTTGATAACTGACAATGGGAAAGAAAATAATCAAGAGCAGATTCTCAGTCCGCTTGCATGCAAAAAAATACTGTTTTAAAAACAATGACTGTTAAAAAATTAACGTACTATATAAAATCAAATTTCGTAAAATTGCCCTCAGCAATTCAGAAATTAGAGGCAGGAGGTTTACCTCTCGTGGAGTCATTAAAATTTGTTAAAGATTATGAAACTTCCTTGGAATTAGTGTTTGCAGTTGTAATTGTCATTGTAAAGGAGAATTTGTGTTAAATTCAAATTCTCATTTGAAATTTTTCCAAAATAAAAATTTAAAAAAAACATTTGTGGTGACAAATCAGAAACTGCAGAGTTTGACCTCATATTGGCTCGAATTCCATCTTTGAAGTATGCTCCAATAACATCTTATATTTTAGAAAGCATTTTCTACATTTAAAAACAGTTGTTTCTGACAACAATGAGAAATTTGACAGTAAAATTGAGACAAATAATAAATTGTTACTAAAAGCGATAAAACAGGAAATGTAATAAACTCAAATTTGACTGTGCACGTTTTTATAATTTTTGTTCTGCGTCATGCACGTTTGGCTATTTGCCGTTTGCATGGAAATCTTGTCTTTAGTTATTCTCATGTTCTTTCATCCTCTATGGCACCTTCTGGTCTGGCCAATATCATTTATGGGGCAGTCTAGGCAGGGAACAGAGTAAACAACAAAATCTGTTGCGGCAGCAGAGATATTGGGTTTTCCCAGTTACTATTTCACAATTGAGGAGATATCAACCACAAAATGTTATGATATAAATTTTAATAAGAAAAAACAGCTATACATGTTTTAGGACTACTTTATCCCATCTTCTGATACCAAGTATCATGGATTTAACATGTAGGTGTTAAAATATTTGCAAACATTTTCTTTCTGTAAAAAAGGCTTATCAGAATTTTTAACATTCCTGATAAACCTTTTTTAGTTAATCCCAATTTTTCTGGTTTTAATATTAATATTTAATATAGGACTTTATTTTGTGAACTTATTCAAAACTTTTGGAATATATGGAATGGAAATAGCTGTAGTTCTTCTCTCTCATTACTCATGACATTGATCAGTTTTTCATAAGTAGGACTCAAGTTTCTTTGATTTATCATGGCTAGTCTCTTTATGAATTTATTGGTGAAATCTAAAAAATAATTAATTCAGAAAGTTAACAGTAAGAAAATTATAACAACCTTATGAACCAAAAAATAATAGCTATCTGTGGATGGAATGAGCAGAAAACTAATTCAAAGTTCTCTTTTCCTACACTAATTGGTAGAAATTTTATTCCCTTCCAAGGATAAGAGCATATCTAGGAAGTTGTAAGAATGGTTAATAGGCATAATGGTAAAATTTAACACAGTATAATACAAATTACAATCAGACAGAACTTATGCGATTTCATCCTTAATGTGTCATCTACGTATCATTTGTAAAAGAAAGAATTTGTTTTGTTAAAATTGATTTTTTCAATTTTCTCATCCCTGTATCTGAAAATAAGCTTCATGAGATGAGGATTCCACTTTCAGACAACATGACATATAGACAATCATTTATGGGTTCTTAATTAAAATCATTGAAAAATATTGATGAATGCGGTAGTGTTTGTATTACATACTATAGATATATTTTGAAAATGTTCTGCTTCCTACAAAGTGTTTGATAATTTCTAGGGTTGCATACCTCCATTATGTGATTTGTTAACTGTAATGGATGCCAAAATAGTCCAAGTAGCATTGAACGGATTGGAAAATATTTTGAGGCTAGGTGATCAAGATGCAAAAACACATGGTGGTATTAATCCTTATGCAGTGCTTATTGAAGAATGTTTTGGTAAGTGTATTTTAGCACCCAGAAAACAAAAACATTTCCAATGAACAGTAAAAAGTTAGTCAACTAAGTAAACTCAATGTTTTATAGTTACATGATTTTATTCCTCATATAATTGTATTCTTGCTTTTTTTATTTTTCAGGAATTGATAAGATTGAATTTCTTCAGTCTCACGAAAACATGGAAATATATCAGAAAGCATTCGATATAATTGAGCATTACTTTGGTAGCGAAGAAGAAGATTCAAGAGTAGCTCCTGAGGTAGATCAGGATGCTCAGCAGTTCCAATTTAATGCTGATCAGAGTGTACCTATGGGTGGCTTTCAGTTTTGAATCTTTTAAATTGTAGATAAAGGTATCAACTATAAAGAAAAGATGTAACTGGCTGAAAACCCAGTGAGATTCAATGGTATGTGAGTAGAAAAAGCTTTTTCTTCAATTCTTAAAACATCAGTGAATTGGTTGATGTTAAACCATAATAATAATAAGGCCATTGACGAGACTGATATTGGACATGCATACATGATATTGACAATGAGAAGAAAATCAACTCACTAAAATGTATTGAACAAAGAACATTTTCCTTTCATTACTTCTACCAGTATGTCCAATGAGGCAGATCATTCGTTTCTTCAGTCCTGTGAAATTTGCCACCTGCATAGTGTGAAGTGTTTCATTTAATAAATACCATTGGTACTAACTTCACTAAGGTATAGATGTGTTGTCAATAAAATGAACTGTCAGTCATTTTGTTTATTATACTTTCTGGTGAAGATTAATTTATGTAGTAACTGTTGTAGTCCTGCCAGATCACTAAACTCACATATGTGATCAAACTTTGTCTTTCGTAAATGTATATAACATTCTTTACAAAGGTTTGTTACCAAATTTTATAGAAGTCTTTGAACCATATTGTATTTGAGAATGGACACAGGTAAGATTGTGAAAAATTGTCTTTATTTTGTTGGTAGCAACAACGAAAATGATTTCTTTTCCACTTTCCTCAATTGCTAAACTTCTAGGGGAATGATAAATGTTTGGTAATTTTGTAACGTTAGAGCAAACAGCATCCACTCGTATTTAATATTGCTTTTGTACAACTGTAACTAGTTTTGTTCTTGTATTCGATGTATTATTTCATGGTATATGAATGTCTACCATTATGTCGCTGGCTTTGTAGAACTGTTAACTCATGCCAAATTCTTCTTTTATTTAACATGATTGAATATGACTTTAGCATGCATTTTCAAGTGAATACCAACCAAAAACCATTGTGTTGGATTTATTTGCAATTTAATAGTTGAAATTCTTCAGATATATGTTAAACATTCAAAGACTTATATCATATTGTATTGTATAAAAAATATTCTAATAATAATAATAATAATAATAATAAAAGATTTTCATGCACATGAATTTGATTTCTTAATTGTTGGAATTACTAGTTCACTACAGAGTGAAAGAATTGGGCAATGGGAAGTACTTCAAGTAAACCTGTCTCGAATCAAAGAGTGTGGAAAAAATTGAAATATGTATTTGTTTGTTTTTTTAGAACATTGTGTTAGTAAAATGATCTCAAATTATTGAGGATAGCTTGCATATTTATTATTATTATTATTATTATTATTATTATTGTCAGACAAAATGTAACAGTACATATGTATAACGTCTCAACATTTTTCACTTTTGTGTATTTGCGTATTTCTATAAACTGTATCTGAAGGACATGTAATGCCACCATTGTATTTGACATTTTTTATGGTTCATTGGGGGCTAAGTGTCTGATATTGTATTTGTGCATTGTAAGAAAACTTAGCATACAGAAGTTTTGCAGTGATACCAAATTATTTAAGTTGATGTGGCAAGAGCAAGATTATTCTTTCCTTTGTTGAATTGTTAAATTAAATTTCTAATACAGAAAATGTTATGCAATATATGACTGAGCAAAATTTATTCATTGTCTTTTCTTCTTTTATTTTTTAAATTTTGTTAATTTGAAATGTGGTGCTTTCAAACATTTCATTTTACATGAATGTATAAATATATCTATATGAATGTAAATTTAAAAATGTGACTGAAATGTTAACATAAGGGACATAAAAATATTTATCAATTCAAGTAGTAGTTACAACTTTGTCACATGATTCATGGTAGTGTTATTATGAGAGAAAAATAATGAATCTTTGACTGTTCTATCCCTTTCTTTTGACTGTGGACCAACAAAATTTTGATCCTAAGTACTTCCAGTGGTAAATAGAACATGCATGTTTCTCTCAAGTTTGAACTGTGATACTTGGTTCTCTTGCAGCTACTGCACTAATTGTTAAAGACATTACTGCATGCATGCTGCATGTGTACTTCCATCGGATTTATCACCAGTGGTGTACTTTCCTGATGTATTTAAACAGTATCACCAGTTTGCTAATTCAAGGATGCACCAGAGATGTTTAGCAATTAAAATTGTTCATTTTGCTTTTGAATATTGTTTTATTTTGTGTGCTTTGGCACCTTGTAGATCATGAAATGGTTAATAACCCCCCCCCCAACTGTTAAGACTTAGTGTATTACTGATTTAGTGAGCTAGTTTTATATTTTAAAATCTTAATGCAGTTCAGAGTATATTGTTAGGTTGGTGCAATAATTAGTAATCTTCAAACGCTGAAGTAAAACTTGGGACTGCAGGTGAAGCAGCTCTTTTTGAATTGACAATAGGAAAAGATGACTACTAATCTGAATTCATATTGCTAGTTGTCACGCAAAGTATGAGGGGTGAACTTTGTACATTTCTATGGAATGTGTTGCAATGGATGGTGAAAACAAAATTGACATGTTCTATTTAAAACCTAGTCATTTAATTGCATACAGCTTTACTGAATAAACTGTTGGAACTTTCTGGAAAAACAATTATTACTGACAGTATATGCTGAGTGAGACTTTATTGTAAATAAAAGAAACAGATGTAAAGTTCTATTGCCTTTTATTAAAGTAAATCAACAGAAAATTTGGATACGCATGTTTTATCATTTACCACACTTGAATTTATTATGAGTTTGTGTATATAAAAAATTGGAATTTGAAATGTTACCAATTTCAGATTACAATAAGTAAGTTTTAAATCATTGAAGCAAAAATGGCAAACATACAGCTTTCCTGTTTTTATTATGCATTTATTTTTGTCCTAACTTTGCTGATCAATCTGAGATTTTAGTATGGAAGTCAAATAACCTATTTGCAGGTTATGATTAATGTTGAAATGTAAAACTTTTTGGAAAGAAAACTTTATACAGAAATTCACTTGATCATTAACTTCTCAAAATAAAAGGAGACTACACAAGCAGCAAGTAAAATGCCTAAAGTGATCTTAACGTATGTAGTGTTTTAACAGCAAGATTCATTTTGAACACTTTAGCTGTTATAAAGTTTGCTCCCAAACATCCTTTGTGCATTTCACACTTTACACTTTAATAGTTTTTGATAAATAAAAAAATTAAGAAAATTCAGGAATGTAACTTGCAGCATAATAGATGTGGACTTTAGCAGAGGATAAACAAAAAACCAAGTTCCCAATTTTTATTCAGCTTCATAAATATAGTGAAGTAGGTATGAACATGTCGTTCTTCACTAACACCAATACCACAGTGTGAGATATTTAGGTTCAATAGTTCTTAACTTTGCAGTTGTGTAGGAATAGTCTCAAAACAACATTTAACAAGGTAAGATTGATTCCATTTTCACAGACTCCACAGCATCAGTAATTCTTGTTATCAAAGGATCCAGTATATCATCGGACAATGTATCTTTCCATATATTCTTCAAATAGTCTTCAGCAATTTTTGTTGGAGTCTTTTTTTCTTTTTCATCCACCTGCATAGTGAATAAAAATGCAGCATTACGAACTAAAGGATTTTCTACATCGCATAGAACGTGAAATGTCTGAGCAATTGTACCAGGAACTTCCTGAAGGTCATGCACAATCATAACATGTATCTTTTCAATATCATGTTTATATGACTCTGTAAATAAACCATAATCCTTTGTAAGAGAGTCATTCAACTTTAATTCTTCTCCTTGGATAACAATAGGTTTCTGTGATGTGTCACTGAGCAATCTGACTGCGTTCTGTCCCACTTGATCAGCAAGACAAGCTGATGTTTTCTTATCATTATGCAACAAAAGAAGCACACTTGGCTTTGTAGGTTTTTCAGTCACAATTGTCTTCACCCCAGACATTATACTGAACCATATCTTTTCATTCTGGGATGGGAATTGTTTTTGTAAATCTTTAATATTTTGTGTCCACTCGGCTATCTTGTTAGGTTCAACATCTGTATTAACTTGTGAATTTAGAGAAATATATATACACACTGACAAGACTGGCACAACAATCGCTAAAGTTAACCAAAAGCAGCTTCCACTGGTGTTTACAGGAATCTGTCTAGGAATATTATCAGTGTTTACAGGAATATTATCAGATAATTCAGTAACATTGGCACTCTCTGGTTCATAATAGGGGGCCTTACAAGGGGGTAAATATGGGGCATTTTCATTCAGATAATTCAAACATTTTTCAATAAGCATGACATATTCTTTTGAATTGCTGACTTCAACCTCACCCTCAACAACCCTGTTTAGCTCAACCAGATCTTGAAATGTCTTTAACAATTCATTTTCCTCATCGACCTCACCCTCAATTTCGGTGAATAAATTCTGTAATTTTTCTGGCCACACTCTAATTTCTTTTCTCACATTATAGACAAGCCAATGTTCTCTTGATTCCTTACAACGTGCAATTTCTGGGCGTGGACTAACATTTCTCAGACTGTTTCTGAAAAACAAATCAATTATATTATTATAGAAATTTGCAAGGTGCATTCAATCAAGAAAATCTAACTAGCACAAGCCGTTTGGCAATTGATTTTATACGTCATCGGATTTCCACAGGGAAATCTCCTGTGGAAATGTAAGTCTGGGCATTTTAATCATTAGAATATACTACTTACTTCATTGATGCCATTATTGATTGGAACCAATATTAATTTGATTATCCAGCATTAATCACTATTATCGGAAAACGAAGTCCACAACACTTAAGGGTCGAAACATTCTACTGACAGACGGATGCGGACAAACATCACCAACACCTGCCAGCTGCCCCAAGCATTCGCTTCGCAAGACGAGTAAACGATGCCCTCTTCCACCGGGAGCGCTACAATCGACAATTTTTTTTTATTCTGCAATTTTTACAACAGCGCCTCAAGGCCCATCACAAGAGAGTAGTTTCCATCGGTGGCATTGCCGCTGCAAAAGACATCCTACACCTTAATTCTATGACCAGTAACCATAGCTGACAACGCAACAAAATCATAATAATTCATGCAGACTAATGGCGTTCTACAAGGAGACTGCCCGAGTCCCTTTTTCAACATTGCACTAATTGAGATTAGTTTTATATTTCGTTTGGTCTCGGCTAGCTTTTCCGACTTGCCACATACTCGTGCCAGCTGCCCTCCATCACTGCTCAAAGAACATTTCTTTTTTAATTTTCTTCACTTTTCAGTTTCTCAATAGTAGAACGGATATATATTTTTAAGAATATTAAAGAAAAGTAAAATCACGTCCTAAATGGCAATTTTGGTTGAAACATTTGGAGTCGTTCTTAAGAAAATGGTGATTAAGCGTTACTGTAAATTCAAAATTTGAAGCTCTTTATCACAGAAAATTTTTGAGTTTTCGAAAAACTTCATTAAGGTCATTTGAAGCACGTGGACTCGTCAATATCGTTGAGAACGCGACTGAATATAGCAACCGCGTCCTCGTTATGTAGGGGGGCAGCTCCCGCGCTCTTTGCGTTGTTCGGAAGCCGATGAAACGCCTGACGTGGCGCGGGGGGAGTTATTGCCAAAGTTCTCCGTTTCGAAACAAATTATCAATCACTAGTTTGTGGTATTAATATTTACTCTAGTCCAGCTGTTTTCGTATTGTCCCGCGAAGGCAGACCGCCGTTCCGCACTTGCGCCTCTGTTGCGTCAAGTTAAGCCTACAGTGCTACCATGGCGGCCGGGAGGCGACAGGACATGTTGCCACAGTTCACTATTTCTTGAATATAGTTTGCTCACGCCATAAGACATCATGAGTCATATGTTTATTATTCTTCGTATATTATGTAAGGAACTTACATTCTTCAAAACTTACATTGTTGGGCATCAGAAACCGAACCTGGTGGGCTCCGCGGATCTGACAGTAACCACCTTGGCGCTTGTAACATCGTGCGGCATGCTTACCGCGAGAGTTCATATAGTTTCTATAGTGTTTTCTATACCGCATGTAATCAATATTTATTTAGGCATCAAATATCATTCTTGACAGGAACTGCAAATTAAATGTTTCGGAACAAGGCGTAAAAGAATCGGATAATTTTCCAACTTCGGTTTGTGGTCATTTTAGAATTCTAAATACGTTCGTTTACGAAGGTAGGTGGAAATCTTCAAAAGACTCCATACGACATAGTAGTGTGAGATTCTCACTCAGTAAAACCACCTCCCTAGGCTTCCCCACCCCCACGGAACCGCCGCGCCGGTATTACTCTCACAACTTTTCTTGAGTGATGACCTTGCTTCCCCATCTCTGGCACAATATACTCTTCAAAGCAAAAACTTATAAAAAAAAAAAAAAAAGTCTTAAGAAATGACCGAAGCAGGTGAAGATCCATCACAGGAGATACCTCGAACTGCTGAGAAAGTTACAACGCAAATTATTGAGAAAGTTGCGAAGGCATGACTGATTCTCCAGAGATTGGCACTGCTTTATAAAATCTAGTGGCTGATCACGTAACTATTACCCTCTCTCTACCCGCATATCTTCAATCCATCGTTCAAGAAAAGTTGCGCGAGTAATGGGCATTACTTTGCAGGAATGAATTGCGCTCTTCATACTCTTGGCCTCGTTCTTACTTACAACTTCTAAGGCCGTGTCCTGCGTGGGCCGCAACTGGCGGCGGCGCCAAGCGAAAGCTTGCGTCAGCTTCAAGCGATAAGTTGCGATGCCGCGCGACATAGCGTGGGGTGTCCTGCGTTGGCATCCGGAAGCAGCGACAGTCGCCGCGTCGCTTGGAAACCTAACCTCATTAACTTATAGTTATAACCCTAAGAGTTATAACCCTAACCCTAACAAGGGATACCCTACACCCTAGGGATACTATATAACACAACACTTACAATTATTATTATTATTATTATTATTATTATTATTATTATTATTATTATTATTATTATTATTATCATCATCATCGAATAGAGGTTCTATTAAGAACAAAAGCCTCCTGCCTTTTGCAGGGAATGCTGAATGAAGCGATAGGGTGATGATGAGGAATAAAAGGACTAGGATGGTGGTGAGAGGAGGGGTGATTATTTTGGTATTTGGCTGCATTTACAATTCCCGCTAATATTATGACGCAAACTGATGTTTGAATCTCATTGGCTGAAGTCGGATACGATGCGCAAGTGTCCCCTCTGGCTCCGACCGAGACGACCCAGAAATCAGAATCTCGCAGTGTCCCGTGCGTTCACGTTGTATTCAATTTCTGTCACCCAGCTGTCACTCTGTCACCTAAATACCCACCGTCATTTGTTTTTTTTTTGTGAAACATGGTTTTGAATTATTTCTTTGATCAATTCCTGCCATTTGATGATGTTTGGCTATCGTTTGTATAACTTTAAAGAAGAAATGGTTTGTCTAACCATATATTCAACAGCCTCAAATATTCATTACAGGTGTCTTAATCCCAAAACAGAATTCATGCGTTTTTGTAAAGGTGCCCGATGTGTTCATTCCTAAGAAACGTAACAATGGGAAACTGTCACAGATGTGTAATCGAGAACGAGACTTCTCGAATCCGCAAGTGAGTGTTTTTTTTATTAGAAGATTATTAATTTGACCCTCCTTTACACCCAACATAATTGACTGAATTCTACACAGATTTTTTCATTTCTTTACAGGAGAATTGTTTTATTACTTGTCGGTTTGGATAATGCAGGGAAAACAAGTACAGCCAAAGGATTAATCGGAGGTATGATTTTTGTAGACATTGTTTTTAGAATAAATGCATAGCATTACATTAATGAAGTTGAAGATTTTAACACGTAGTCTTAAGATATTTTGGCATAAATTCCAGCTCAAAGATAAAAAACATGTCGAAAGCGGGAAAAGTTAGGACTTAATGAACGTATTCATTTACGGGTGCTGGAAATTTGGAAAACAAAACGCTTAACCCTGTGGCACACACTCAAGTAAAAGTTGTCAAGTACATGCAGTAACCTCTCGGATGCATCTTCATTTTAGCTGATCTTGTTTCACAAACTGACTACTGGGTGTTGTAGGCCCAAACCCACATTTAACACATTTTCTGATATTGGAATTTTAAAACTAATAAACTACAATGTTTACCAACCATAAAAACAAGATATATGTTTGAAAGCTTCATCTGTTGTAAACTGTACTACACGCTGTAGTCTGCGGTATGCTACAACATACACGGTTTGGTTGAGACTATTCTGATGACAGCAGCACAAAGCCTATTGTCATGAACGTGAAGCTATGATATCTGAGAACTACAACAAAGAGTACTGAGAAGGATTGTGTTCTGAGAAATTCATATGACATATCAACAGAAGAACAACTCACTCGTTTGCCTGATTGACCACATGTGCTGCAGGGTTAAATACTTCTATAGTGTATTTATTCATTTTTTGAATATTAACAAAATCGTGTGTGCAAGTTGTAAAGTTTGTGCCTTGTTAGTAAGTCATTGGTTTGAAAGTCAAATATTTATGAGTGTGGAAGAAAATGGATGAATGTAAGAAATGAAAATTAATGTTTGGAAAACGGCTGTTATTCTGATTTTTCTCTTTTGTTACTTACCTTAATTTGTAATATCCTGCTGTCGCATAAAAAACAGTTGAGTGAACAGGATATTCTTAGAAATGTTAGTTAATTCATTACATTGAAGAAACTGACATGGCCGTCAATTTGTAGTCCAAATTATTGTATGCTGATTAGATACCAAGAACTGGTAGAAAAATATTTTTGTGAACAGACCTTTGTTTTATGTTAATTCAACTCATTAAATGCATTTTTATTAAGTTGCCAATAGAACAGTACCGTAGGTTCAGTTGGCGTAACCGGGGCAAAACCATTGGTATGTTCCCTCCCATAAATTAAATATAAAAATATGAATTACTGAATAGTTAATACTTATGTAATAAAAATACAAGTATACACATGACATTCTGTTGTATAAATACAAGTTGCACAGGACATTTATATTTATAATATATTAAAAAACTGAATGTAATTCAGAGTAATTGATTAAAAGTAATCTTTAAATAAATAATCTGAAATGAAGTACAACTAATAAACAAATCCAGATTTTTTATAAAAACACTTTTTGAGGTTTGAGGGTGGTTAACTAATTTATAATTTCATCAAAATCTATAATTTTAAAATAATCATTAAAATTAATACAATTCCAACTATAATTTTTTTTAATTGGTGTCACCCCCTAATTACGCCACTACAATAGAATGATAAGACAGGCCTTTTTCGAAGAATGTTTTAATCTCTATGTTAGTATTAGTTACTAATAGTTTCTTGCTGCAAAAATGGCTTACAACAATCCATCTTTCATATCTATTGAATGTTATGTATTATTTTCTGTACTATGCAATTTACATTATATACTTTTGTTCTATGCCGGAAAGATTGAATTGATCATTCCATAAACAATTAAACAGGCTAGGCATTAGTCGTCTCAGGCCCAGGTACAAATTAATATCATTAGCAGCGCCAAGCATTAGCAAATATAATAGCAAATATTTTAAATGAGCTTTTCAGTTTTAAATTATTTTATTTCAAAATAATATCTATACTAACATTTTTAAATTGCTAAGTAAGTGAAATCAATTGCAATGTTATTTTAAAATATATTTAAGTTTTATTATTGGAATTAAATAAATATTTATTTTGTTAAATTGAGTTGTTAATAAAATAGTCAAAGGTTACTTAACATTTATATAGCCCCATTTCATAGGACCCTAAACAGTGCTTAGCCCCCTTTTGCAATAATCCACTGTTCTCATCTTTACTTCGTATTAGAATGAGCAGACTCATTTTAACCTTTCATCTCTCCTTTTATTCCTTTTATATGTAAATAACAAGATAATTTCAAAATATTTGTCTTTAATAAATCTGTTACTTTTCTTAGTACTTCAACATTATGTTTTGTGTTTTGTACAAGTTTCTGTTATCTTTTATTTTATATTTCTTTATTGTAATTTTTATTTGGATCAATACTGTACATGTCATTCAAACATCACTTGTGTAGTTGGTGGGTGTGAGGCATTCTTACTGAAGTTTGAGGTGACTTCACTTAAAAGAGAAGTTCAGGAGCTTGTGTTGTTTATTTGCAGTGGTAAAATCATTTTCAATAAAACTTTGCAGTATCTGTTTGTATCTGACAAAATACAGATTAATTTTACATGATTGCAACACTACTGAGACTTGTGAT